GCCGGCACCTCAGCCCCGCAGCCCCGCTCCCACGCCCCACTGTCCCACCCCATCCACACAGATAGAGGGCGTGCAGTGTCCCAACCGGCCTCCCCTCCCTAGGCCTCCTGGCTCTCCTCTGGGCCCTGCCCACCTTCACCCCTGAATGCACAGCCTGCTGCCGGCCAGAGCCCACCCCCTCGTCCCTGCTGAGTGATGTCACTCCCTCGGAGGACTCTGGGCTCTTCTGCGTCCTGTCCCACTCAACTGACAGAGGAAGCAGATGCAAAGGGCTGGGGGGAGGGGCGGGGGGACAAGATCACGGGCTGGGGCCAGGAGAGGCTGGGCCACTCTGCTCAAGCGCCACGCCTTTCCCCTTGAAGGCTTACAGTTCAGTCCTCCAACCCTCCACCCCCACCCGAAGTTCAAGTCGGGGTCTGAACTACTCTCCAGGGAGCTGCCAGAGGTGGGTGGGCAGACGGACACCATCTTCCAGCTCCCTTGTGTGCAGTGGGGGCAGTTTACTCCTGAGCCGTTTTAGGGGTGTTGAGGAAGTGAGAAAACAGCTCTGGGGTCCTTGGATTGTAGCCTCATAGCTGCGTTCCTGAACTTCAGCCCAGCGGTGGGAGCTCCTAGGGTAGCGGTCATTTCTTCAGAGTCAGGGCCCAGCCTGGAGCCCAACCCTCCCAACATTTCACAAGCACCCACTCTCCTGCACCAAGTCCTTGCTGCCTAAGGGGCCCTTGGCAGCACCTCCTTCCTGCAGCGAATCCAGACATATCAGTAGGAGGGCTGCAGTGTAGCAACTACAGGTGGCTCTCCCAGAACAAGGACAGGGCCAAAATCGGGGACTCACCTGGGAGGGTCATGTGTGGGGATGTGTCTGCCGGCAAAACCTGCATGGGCCCCGTCCAGACTCAGGTTTGCCTGAGTCACTCGGCGCCACAGTCACTGGACCAAGTGAACATAGACCGGTGACGAGGGGGATGATGGTGGTGGTGCTGTCACATACAGAGCCTCACCATGTGCCATGCACCACTCTGACTGCTTCAGGAACAGACTTTTTTTCCCCAAAACAACCTCCTGAGGCAGGAACAGCTGTCACCCCCACTTCACAGAGGGGCCACGTGCTGCCCACGGTTGCACAGTGACAGCAGCGCAGCCAGCCCCAACGGGCCCCCCGGGCCATTGTGCGTGGTGCCAGTGCCCGGTCACACCCCGCCTGGAGTGCCCAGAGCCGGCACTGCCCACTGACTCTGTCCCTCGCTCCTCACTCTTCCCCTTTCCTGGGCAGGAAGCTGAGCCCAGACCGGGTTGGCAAGCACATGGTGGACAAGTGCCCTCTTTGCTAAACTCTAACCCTAGTGCTTATAGCTGGTTCGGTTCTGGCTGAAAGGAAAGTTCTGAGGCCACACAGGGGCCAGGGCTCGCGGTCGGCTCTCTTGGAGGGCAAAGGGAAGAGGGCGTGCACCCAGCAGCGTCCCCCTGCTGGCTGAGAGTCCACCCCTGACCTGCAGGCCCCTTCCGGCCCGCCTCTGCCCAGGCACATGCATGGGTGGACTGATTTCTGCTTCCTCTCAAGGGGACCTCTGGTCACCCCTTGATGTTCCAGAAAGTTAACCCTTGTTTCCCTGGCCTCATCCCCCACTGAAGAACCACAAAGAAGCTGTATTCCTTTCCTGACCCACATGTTTGCCCCAGAGACACACACCCGGTCCAGCCCACAGTGAGGTCAGGTGCTCCCAAAAGCACCCCTGAATGCACAGCCGGCTGCTCTCAGCTCTGAGAGGTGTGCTCTGCAGCCCGGATCTCCTCCAGCGTCTGCGCTCCCAAGTTCACCCATTTTAACTTAGACCTTTCCTCAACAAGGAGCATGTACCATTTTACTCCAAATAATAGTCCCCATGAATTGAAGTTTCCACCTGTGCTGGAAGGAGCCTGTCTGCCTGTCTCATGAGCTCCACTTGCCTGTGTAGTGAAGGACTAACTTACCCTGGTAAAAATTAAATGATCCAATTTAAAAATGGGCAAAGGACCTGTGTAGACATTTTTCCATAGAAGATATACGAATGGCCAAGAGGTCTGTGAGGTGTTCAGCGTCACTAATCATGGGGAAACGCAGGTCAAAACCACACCGAGACACCGTCTCACGCCTGTTGGAATGCCCATCACTAAAAAAGCAGATGACAAGGAGAAAGGGGACCCTCATGCACTGTTGTTGGGAACGTCACTGGTGCAGCCACTGTGGAAACTGCGTGGAGGTTCCCCCCAAAATTAAAAATAGAACTGCCTTGCGATGCAGCAATTCCACTTCTGGCTTTTTATCCAGTGGAAACAAAAACCCTAACTTGAAGAGCTACTTGCGCCCCCGCGTTCCCTGCAGCGTGATTTACAACAGCTAAGACATGGAAACAACCTCCGTGTCCATCGATGGATGCGTGGATAAAGAAAACCTCACACATACACATATACAATAGAACGAGTGACTCAGCCATAAAAAGGGGGGAAATCCAGCCATTTCTGACAACACGGATGGGCCCTGGGGGCGCTGTGCTGAGTGAGACGTCAGACAGGGAAAGACAAATACCATAAGCCCTCGTGTGTGGGGGGACTACAAACAAGCACCCAATCAGACTCACAGAAAACAGAGATCAGATTTGCGGCGACCGGAGGCGGCGGGAGTGGGGCGGGGGGAGCAGAGGGATTCGGGTGGAGGTGGTCACAGGCGCACACTTCTGCTTGTCAGATAAAGCGCTGGGATGTCAGAAACAGGTGACTGTCGGTGACGCCACTGCACGGTGTACTTGAGAGTTGCTGAGACAGTAGATGCTCTGGCTCTCCTCATCACAAGGAAAAACACTTTTTAAAAAATTTTTTTAAAGATTTTATTTATTTATTTATTTTAGAGAGCAGGGAAGGGAGGAAGAGAGGAAGAGAAACATCAACGTGTGGTTGCCTCTCGCACGCCCCCCACTGGGCACCTGGCCCACAACCCAGGCACGTGCCCTGACAGGGAATCCAACCCGTGACCATTTGGTCTGCAGGCCCACACTCAATCCACTGAGCCACACCAGCCAGGGCCACAGTTTTTTCTTTTCCTTTTTTTTTCTTGTATCTGTATGAGATAATGAATGTTAACTAAGCTTGTGGTAATCATTTCGCAATACATGTGAGTCAAATACAATGGTGTATATAATTATATCTCAATAAAACTGGAGAAAAAGAGAAATATCTATTTCTTTAAAAAAAAAAAAAAAGAACTTACCCCCAAAATCTGACCTTTATCCCTGCTCTTGGACAATCACCTCTAATTTATGCTAATGAGGCCACTCAAGACGGGGTGGGGAAAGGCAGGGGTGGGTGGTCGGCCACACCATTGAGCTACTGTGGTATCAGCCCAACCTCTCTCTCTCTGGAGGGGCCCAGCATAAGGCCAGCGGAGCAGCCAGCCACTCAAGCAGTGGTGCCTATGAAATGCCACCCCGTGACACTGCACACGAGCGCCCGGGTGAGTTGCCCGCTTAGAAGTGGTCCGCCTGTGTCACACGTTCAGGTGCTGGGGAGGGGACACGCTCTCACTCCACAAGGAGGGGAGGGTGGCAGCTTCCTGTTGGGAACCCTGGGAGACCTCACCATCCGACTATATCCGATTAGCCTCCTTTTGCTGTAATGAAAATACATGGAGCTTTCCTGAGTTTTGAGTCATTCCAGCAAATTACTGAACCTGAGGGGATCATGTGGACTCTGGAATTTGTAGCCAGTCGGCGGGAGGTGAGAGTGGGTGGAAACCCCCACACCTGCAGCTGGCGTGGGAAGGGAGGGCAGTCTGGTGGAGGCTCCGCCCTTAGCCCTGGCAGGGCTGACCACCTCCACGCAGCTGCCGTCAGCAGTCACGGCCTTGAGTTGGGTGAGCCTGTCACCCAGTCCCGATGGAGGCACCCTCAATACGGTCGAAGGACCTTCCTGCCCCAATCACCCCGGCCCTGTCCTTCAGAGGGCGCTGGCCGTTGTGATAAGGTCCAAAGTGCAGGAACGACCTCCGCAGCCATCTCTCCTTTGTGACCTCCTGGAGGGAGAGGAGGGTTGGAACAAGGGAAGTAGAGAGGGAAGGAAAGGAGAGGTTTGTGGAGGGGGACATGCATGGCGCACGGGAGCACCGCCATCCTGCTGCACGTGTGTGACCGCGGGGTGCTCAGCACCTCGCCGGGTCCTGGGCAGTGGGACTAAAGCAGCAGGTGGGTGATAGCCATTAACAAAGTCATTTGATCTGTAAATCAGTAAGGTGGTGTCTCTTTTAGCTAAAGATGTATTTAAGTTCCATTCCTGAAACCTCGGGACGGACCTAATGTGCCTAGTGCCCCCTTCCTGTTAAGGACCTGCGCACCTGCTGGGACCAGAACTGAGCCCCCGCGGGTGCTCCCTGTCCTCACCTGGAAGGATGGCATACCTGAGTGCTAGAGCAGGAGGTCTGTGCTTGCTACTTGCCTTCTACCCAGATGTAGAACCCCAGATCACCTTTTCCACAAAAGAAGTTTCCAAGATGCCACCCATACTTGGAAAAAGCCAGGTTAAAATACCATTCAAGTCAAGCTTTCTTGATATTACTCTATCTTTCCCCAGGAGGATTGCACTAAAACAAATTCGGACACCTGTGGCCTCTTCCTGCAAAGCAACAAGCCAGCAACAACCCCAAGCTGATAAGATTAATCTAAAGAGCAAATTATGGTGTAATTTCCTATGCTGATACTTTGTAGTTAATTTGAAAAAAAGGTTTCATTTTCCTATTGGTCTGATTTCACAGGAACATTTTACCTGTTTCTGTGAGGCATATTTTTTCTCCTGGAAGAGAGGTGCTGATTGGCCCCAACCTGGTGTAATGAAAATTTCCAATGTAAACTCATTTTCCTTTGGTTTCAGCAATTTTAAATCTATATATAGAGATATCATTGTCAGAATTGCATTGTTAGCTTCTCCTGGTAAACTCATTGCCTCGCATTGTCGTTGCGAGGACAGATCTATCCATGGGTCTCCCCGCCCACCTGATCCCAGCTCTGGTCTGCTTACTAGCATGTAGCAGCAACTTCATCCACGGACGCAATTTCAACATCACCTTACAAGAGACCATCAAGACGCTGAATATCCTCACAACAAGAAATGTGAGTAAGCTCTCAGGCACTGGCTGTTCATGTGCAGTGAGGGTGTGGGTCTTTCTTGGACTATGAGGTGGTCCTTGGTAGATGTTGATGGGAAACCTGTCCCCTGGTGTTTCCCTGCCCACCCCCTCTTCCCCTGCTGAGGGACTAAAGAAGTTTCCTCAGCTTGAGGGAGTGGAGGCTGCCTGGCAAGGATTATTCTGTGCAGTTGGAAGTGACTCTGTCTCTTGTCTCTCGTTCCTGCCGGGGCCAAGGATCCACAGTGCATGGAGCTGCCCATAGCCGACGTCTTGGCCGCCCCAAAGGTAAGCACTGCCGGGTGGTCTGCCTGGCAGGTGGGTGACTTGGGACAGGGCAGCCATTTACAAGTGTTTGAACAAGAAACTTTTTGAACAGAAAGTGAACTGGCCGAACTTAACTATAAGGTGTTATATGTTTTCAAAGAATGAGAATTCTGATCTTTACTCTCAAAATATGTTTTGGTGTTTCTGGTGGCACTTGACTTAGAAGATGTGTAGTAAAAAGCTTGGATTCTGTGATCCCACTTTGGCTCCGGGCCGAGGAAGGGCTCTCTAGGACTTGCCCAGCCCTGGCCCAGAGCCTGGAATATAGGAGGCACTCAGTAAACGCTTGTCGAAGGAGAGAGTTTTCTGGCCCGTACATTTCCGAAAAACCAAATGCTCTCACAAAAACAGATATTGAGATTACAGGTTGAGGGAGCTTTCATTTTGTCTAAGAGACTTCCTATGGCTACAGAGAGGGTATTGCCAGAGCCCCTCCTCTTCCGCAGCCTGGTCATCTCTGGGCCCACCGGCTCCGGGGTGGCTGTCCACAGACCCTCGGCTCGCTCTGTCCTGCCGGTGCCCCTCCAGCCTGGTCCAGAGCCTCCTGCCAGACAAGGTCCGACTCATCCCTGCTTCTGGCTGCTCGGGCATCTCACCTTCCCACCTCCTGCATGTCTCACCCCCGCCCCTCCATCTGCAGTGGGAGGAGACAGATTTGACAGCTGATAGTGCATTTTCTCTGACAAACACACGACTGCAGATATATCGATGGCTTCGTGCACATCAGTTCCTGTTTTCATGGAAACACACAACTGAGAGTGAAAAACCCAAATCTTCAATGTACCAGTGGTCTCCTAACCACCTGCTTTCCACGTGCACTAGGGGGGCAGCCTGGCCAGGAGTGAAGCCCCATGGGCTGGGCAGGGCCACACCCCAGCACCTGGGCCCCAGGCAGGCCTGTCATACTTCGTGAAAAAACTTCTCTTCGGGCCTTTACCTGGACACCTCGCTTCATTAAAGATTATTCCAGGAACCTGATATACAATAATGGATAATAGTGTAATATAATTCTATACAATATTATATAAAATGTGTCCTATGTAAGAATATATATTATATAATTTTGTCCTTCAGAATCTCATTATGTATCAGACTCTGTCTATCAGTAGGTTAGAAGGACTTGGAGATTTTATATACGTATAAAATTATGTATGTTAATATGATATAGTAATATTTTGTAGACATAGATATACATACATATTTATATATGTGTGTGTATACATATAAAATAGACAAGAGTCTATGGCCTTGTGTGCTGGATCTCCAGAGGGCCCGACCAAGGCCAAGGGCAGGGCCTGGAGGAAGAGCAGGGGCCTGAACGAGAGCCAGCCTGTGGTTTTAGCCCTGGTTCTGCCATGAACTAGCTGTGTGGCCTTTGGCGAGTCTGCGCAGCTCTTTGTGCCTCAGTTTCCACATCTGAAGAAATGAAAGTGATGTTGAAGGTTGGTTGGAACCCAGCTCTTGAGCTGGTGGAAAGTGCAGTTGTAAGATGATACAGTTCTGGGTGGAAGACAAAACCTGGGTGCAGAGAAGCAGAGTGCAGAAGCAGGCCGACTGGTCTCTGACAGGTTTCCTGGTGGGCAATTAGCTGGAGGTATTTCCTACCAGAGAGAGCTAGAGTTCGTAATTTTTCAGAAAGCTCTGTCCACCCTCCATTTTTTTTAAGTGAAAGTGAAGGGTTTTCTCATACATAGCACTGGCTGACTGCATTTGGGCAGAAGTGGCAGTAAGGGAGTCTTGAGGATGCTCTCTGAAGCTGGCCACAAACCCAGCCGGAGCTCTACGGAGTCACTGCCGCAGAAGCAGCCTCCCAGACGGTGCTGTGCCCTTCTGACACTCCCACGAGGGCCGCGTCCTCCTGGCACGAGCCTGGGCCTCCCCTTGGAGCCTCCTCTCCAGAGTAGCTCTAGACCGCGGGGTCCACGGGGGGAGCCATGGAAGTGCGCCTCTGCCCCTGCCCTGCACTGTGCTGGCCACATGCGGGCAGAGGAGGCTGGACTAGCGGCTGCGAGCAGCCGGCGCGGGGCATCTTCCTGCTGCTGCCGCACCGACGGAACTGAAGCTTTAGGGCCCTTCGTTAGAACAGCCTTTACAATTAGGTGTTTTTAAGGTTTGATCCAAACCCTTTTCAATTCCTGTTTTATCCAACCCCTTTAACAAAATCTTCAGAGGGTTTTCCTATAACACATGGCCACATTCACAAAACTAAGAGGCAGTTTAATTTCTAGGCTCCAAGCCAGTTTCTCAAAATCTCACTAGGTTTTGATGGAAAAATAAGCAAAAGGGCTCTTCTCCTCTCTGTCCTCTCAAACCTCACTGTTCCCTCTGCAGGCACAGAGGGTCTGCCTCAGGTACGTCCGCAGGTAGCATGCCGTCACCTTAGCCTCGCCGCACTGCCTGCTCAAAAAGCCCCCTGATTCATGGGAGGTTCTTGGCTCCCGGAGTCTAGAGATACTGGTGTTGCTCTTCAATTTCCAACTAGGATCAGGGCCCAGGAGGGGCCTTTTAACCATTTCATTCAATGCATGCCCTCTCAGGGGTCCTGCCCATGGCATGCCCCCTGCAGGGCATGCCGGGGAGCTATCGTAGTTAGGGCTTCTGGGGCTTCTGGAAAGTAGCATGAAGAAATAAGAGGTGAACACAGATTCACACAGGTGACTCACTGCTGCATCATTTACAGAGGCAAAACCCTGCAATAATAGGGGGCTGATCAATTATGGTATGAACATGCCATGCGTTCCCACAGAGCTCTCGATCCCACGTTCCAAATGCTTTTGAAGGACGTAAGAAAATGTTTGTATTATGTGTTAAGTGTAAAAAGTTACAAAGCAGTACCAATGGCTGGTCCCTATTTTGAAAAAAGTATTTTTAAAAACCCTGGAAGATACTTACCAAAATATTAACAGTGGTTATCTCTGGCTGGTGGGATAATGAGTGAATTCATTTTTGTTGGATATATACAATTTTTGTAGCAAACTTATATTACCTTGATAATGAGAAAAAATTTGTAACTAAGCTGTTTGGACAGTGCTTCTGGTATAAAAAAAAAAACCCGGAGACATTGTTAATGCATATTCGTGACTCAGTGGGGGGTGGGAGTGGGGCCTGAGAGTCGGCATTTCTAACCAGCTCCCACTTGATGCCTGTGCCTCTGCCCAGGGCCACACTGTGGGGGGCAAGGGACCAGAGCACATCCCAGCAGGGGCCAGAGAGAGCTGTCTGAGCTGGACGGGACTCAGGCAAGGCCACGCTCCAGGCTCTGTGACTCGGTGTCTCGCACCAGGCCCCATTCAGACCGAGACACAAACCCTCTAAGAACAGTTCCCCTGCCTGGACGTCCCCAAATGTCCCCAGGAAGAGGCAGGTGGCCAGACCCCCGTCTGGAGCTGCCAGCACTCCAAGGAGGATCTGATCTTGCACTTTCAAGGTCCAAGCCCCTTGACAAGGCCCAGCTCAATGGTATACTCTCTCGGGAGCTTCCCTGGTCCCCCAAGGCCAGACTCCTGGGGCACCTCACCCTCACCCTGACCCTGACCCTGGCCCTGGCCCTCACCTTGCTGTGAGGAAATGTCTTACATTTTCACCTGGACGCTGAGTTTCTGCATAAACCACTATCTCCCTTAGGGATGGCTGAGGGGTGGGGTGGGGGGGGGGGAGGCGCGAGGTCCAAAGCAGCCCTGGTCAGGCCAAAGGGACATCCAGTTACTAAGGAGGGAAACCTGGATTCTAAAACCTGATTGGAATGAAGCACCTTCCACAGAGAGAACAGCTGTGTCACATAGAGAAACAGCCCTGGGCCCCAGAGAGGTGGGTCTGCCTTTTCAGATCACCGCTCTGTAACGTGCGTAGTTCAGGGACTTTATTCTGCTGCCCGTTCAGCAAAACGCTCTGAGGGAAAAGAAACTGAGAGAGCTCCTGAGGAAACACCGCTGGGTTTGCAGGCCCCTGGGGGAGCTGGCTTACGGAGGCTCCTGGCTGAGGCGAGCCACCGGGATTCTCGCTCCCACGGCGGGCATCCTGGGATACCTGCGCAGTAGCTGAGCTAACTTACCCTCACCGCCCCCCCCCCCATCTTCCCAGAAAAAAGAAACCAGAAGGAAAGATCTCTCTCCCAGGTGCAAAACAGAGCTCGTATGTAACACTGGAATTTCTCTTTCTAGAACATGACCGAGAAGGAGACCTTCTGCAGGGCCGCGGTGGTGCTGCGGCGGCTGTACAAGCACCACAACTGTGAGACCCAGAGGTTCCTGAGAACACTGGACAGAAACCTCAACGGCATGGCCAACAAGGTGAGCTGTGCTGTGCCCACAGCGTGGCTCCCCACGGCACCCTCCCGCCCTCCCGTCTCACCGCTCCTCCTTACGAGTGGTGGTCCTGTCTTAACCAACCTTCACTCAGCTGCCTCGTACTCGTGGAGGCCCGTGTGCAGTTCTGGGCCCTGGGAGCACAGTATCAAAGGGAGGAAGGCAGAGGCCCTGTCTTGCAGAATGTTCTGGGAGGAGGGAGAGAAAAAGCAGACTGACTTGTCCTGTGATGTCCTGCAGTGGTTAGTGCTGTGCAGAAAAATAGAGCAATAAAGAGCAAGGGGTGAGGAGGGAGGGAGAGGACTGACTTAGGAGCTGGTGATGCCCTCTGAGAAAATATTTACTTTAATATTTAAGTGAGGGAGCAGGCCTCCTGGGGGACCGCTGCGCAAAGGCCCGCAGGTGGAGACAGGCTCCCTGTGTTCAGAGATGAGGACGAGGCTGGAGCAGAGCGAGCAAGGGGGCCCAGCAGGCCATCCCATTGCACTGGGCCTTTGGCTTCTGCCCCAGGTGTGCTGGGAAGTACCCACAGGGTTTTGAGCAAGGCACAAGCTGTGACAGGACTTTGGGGATTAAAACACTCACTCTGGCTGCCGGGAGGGAGGGGAAGAGACTGAAGGAGGGTCAGCGGCAAAGCCAGGCGACCCACTGGAGGCCGCTGCAGCACCCCGGGCGGAAGGCAGTGGTGGTTTTGAAAGCGGAGAGCAGCAGAGGCTGTTAGATGTGGGGTGTAACAAAAATCAGAGCCGGAAGGACGAGGTGACAGGTCTAGAGTGCGGGGTGTGTGGGCACGAGTGAAAGGTGACCTCCCGGTTCCTGGCCGGAGCCCTTGGCAGGTGGCTGATGAGGACAGATATGGAAGGGCAGGGGCAAAGCAGGGCTAGAGGCTGAGTAGAAGGCCAGGAGTTTAATTTTCTACAGACTAAGTTTGCCGTACGTGCTGGCAGCCAAGTGGAGATGTTGAGACAGCTGGAAAAGTCTGAAGCTTAGAGGAGAGGTCAGAGCCTGTGGCATAAAATGACAAGTCCTCCCAGAGATGTCAGTTAAAGGTGGAGACCTGAAAGGCACAGAGATGGCCAGGGGGTGGGGGTTGGGGGGTGGTCACGTGCTGGGTCCGGAGGCACTGGTGGCCAGAGGTCAGGTAGAGGGTCCAGCGAGAGACTGAGGAGGAGCCGCAAAGTGGTAGGAAGCTGAAGAGTGTGTGGTGCCCGGAAGGCAAGTGACAGTGCTCTTAAGGAGGGAATGGCCAAGTGTGTCAAATGTCCTGGAAGGTCAAGTCAGGTGAAGAGGTGGCCACTGGGCCTGGCGTGACAGAGGGCGTCGCAGATGCCGACACGATGAGACGCAGGAATGGGAGGGACGGACGGGAGGGGCAGTGAGCATGGAGAGCTCCCCGGAGGAGTTTTGCTGTAAAGCAGCAGAGGAACGGACCAATAGTTGGAGGGCAGGTGTGGAATGAGGGGGGCTCTCTGAAGGTGGGGTACACACTCAGCATGCTCGTGGACCAGTGGGAAAAGCCCAGGGGCCGGGGAGCCGACAGTGCAGAAGGAGGGACAGCCTGAGTGGACGCCACGTAACGCCCAGGAGAGGAACTGGGGACATCCCTCCCTCCCGGGGCCTGCCACCTTATCTATCCACGAGATAAGGTAACAAAATAGGAAGCTGGCATCACACTCATTCTCTTTTAATCCTCTTAATCGTCTTATAAAATCGACACTATCATTCCCATTTTACAAAGAGCGAGTGGAAGTGTTTTATAAATGCAGTGGTTTGTCCGGGGCTGAGAGACGGACTGGAGCAGTAGCCTGGTGGCAGGACCTGGGACCCTTCCCACCATATGCGCCACCCAGCCCTGGTGCTGCTGCTTAGTGGGCAGCAGGGGACAGGTGTCAGCCTCCGCCTCCATGCTGCAGCCCCAAGCTGCACCTAGCAGTGTGGACACACCTCTCCAACACGGTGGCACCCCTGAAGGCAGTACCTACAGCGGGTACAGGAGCCACTTCTAGGAGAGTAGGCGCTATGCACAGAAAGCAGGCGAAGCCGGCGGGCCTGGGGCAGTCAGACTCCGGGCAGGCTGGCCTCAGGCCTAGCTTGGATCGTTGTTCAGATGCAAATGCGAGAGTGGGCCTGACTTGAGTAGACAGGCGTGAGGGCGGGACCCAAATATTCAGCAGCACAAGCTAACGAGCTGTTTCTTTTGCAGATCACGTGTTCCGTGAATGAAGTCAGGATGAGTACACTGAGAGACTTCCTGGAAAGGTTAAGGAGGATCATGCAGCAGAAATACGCAAGGGGTTGAAGCTGAATGTTTTAATTTATGAGTTTTTAATGGCCTTATTTTAAAACTATTTATATATTTATAGCTCATCATAAAATAAAGTATATGTAGAACCTGATGGCATGGTGTTGCTTCACTAGCGCTGGCACTTTCCTTGACAACTTTTGGGGAGACCAGTTTTACTTACTGAGAACCCAGAGTACAAGTCTAAAAGGAGAGATGGCTCTCCTCTCTCCAGCTGGGGACAGGACGCACGGAGTGAGGAAAGAGGACAAGTCCCACGTCAGACAGAAGTGGTGAGAGAGCTCGTAGAGTGCGGCGTCGGGGAGACCAGGGACCAGCAAAGCGTTCTGAATGCAGAAGGTGCCAGCTGGATGCTCGGCTCTGCAGGGAGTAAGATTTAAAGTCCTAACAATGTAAATGCGCTTGATGCTCAAGCCTGCAGACCAGCAGACAAAGCACGGGAGAATTATTCCAGAACAGACTGTCGATGCGACCAGCCCAACATTCCTGAGGTGCAGCCAAAAACAGCTGCAAGGCCAAGTGGACCGGCCGGGCGAGCGGGGCGGCGCCCCCAGCTCACTCCTTGAGGCAGCCATCACACAGCACCGTCTAAGGTTGATGCAGTCAGAACCAGAAATTTAAATGTTTATTCAAAATTACAAAGGTAAGAGAAGATCTAAAAATAATTTACTATGAAACATTTGGAAGGGACAAGTTAATGAGGCAAACCCTCGCTTTCCAATAGGGAAATCGACACACAATATCTAAAGTTGAAAAGTCAAAAAACAGTCGGCAAGGCAGGTCGTGGGCTGGCTGTGGTACAGGGGGTGGGCACACGGTGGGGACTGTCCTGCTCTGCTTTGTACGTTTGCCGGTGTGACGGGGAACCCAGAGCAGCAGGTCCGAGACAGGCTAACACAGCTGCTGCAGCACAGCCATGCCAGCCTGAGGTGCCCATCCAGGAGAACTGAGCACGGGGGACCCACAGAGCCTCTCCCCAGATGTTCTCCGCACCCCTCACAACAGCACGAAAGGGGAAGCGGTCCGAGGGCCAATCAGGCCAGGGCTGGACCGACACAACAGGCCATAGCCACACTACGCAACGTTACTCAGCGATAAAAACAATGAAATGTTTGATTCCCAGTCAGGGTACGTGCCTGGGTTGCAGGCCATGACCCCCAGCAACTGCACATTGATGTTTGTCTCTCTTTCTCTACCTCCCTCCCTTCCCTCTCTAAAAATAAATAAATAAATAAATAAAATATTAAAAAACAAAACAATGAAATGCTGACACAGGCTGCAACAGGGATGAACCTCAAAAACATCACGCTAAGAAGCCAGACACGAAAGGCTGCATAGAGTGTGCTGCCATTTATATGAAATGTCCAGGGAGGCGAATCCACAGACAGAAAAGCAGAATGCTGGCCGAGAGAGGCCGGGGCCGGGGCGGGAGGGCTGCGGATGCAGAGTGGCCGCTCACCGACACAGGGGTTTTTTGGGGAGTAATGAAATGTACCGACATGCAATAGCGGTGCTACACTAAAAACCACTGAACTGTGCCCTCTAAAAGGATGCATTTCACAGTGTGTGAGCTACATCCCCATAAAGCTGCCATTTACAAAGATTAAAGGGAAAAAGAGCAAGTGTCAAGTCATCGAAGCCTGTCTTTTGAAGACAGGTCCTCTGCCAGAATGTGGATCTCGCAGCCATGAATGAGCACTTTTCACCCTCGCTCACACATATGTGACAACAATTAATACTCGTACTAAAATTCTACCAAAACATGCAATATCTTTTTAACCCTTTCAAAATAAGGGAACAAATCAAAAGCTTCAAGTCTCACCCAGACCACAGCCAGTTTCACCCTGCCCACATGAAATAGCAGATGCCAAGGGCAACAGCAACCAAGAGAGGCATGGCGGCTTCTAAGGCCACCCTCAGCGCACTCGTTTCCCTTCTCCTTTGATGGAGGCTCATTTACATTCAATGGCTAATGTGAGCTGTCGTCTGCCACAGGATATGAGCCGTGGGCTGGCAGCGTGTGTGTGAGGCCAGGATGGCGAAAAAAGGCTGTTGGGAAGAAACCTTCAGACTAGGCTGTGGGGAGGACACCTGCAGGCTCCAGGCAGGTCTGCCGTGAGAGCAGCTCCAGCGGAGAGGGTGCAACCGAGTCTCTGCTCACTTCCAGAGAGCTGAGGCCAGGCTCCAGAGGGCAGCACCCAACAGTGAGCCTCGAGTTTGCCAAAGGAGCGAGCGAGGCGACACGGACTGAGGATGGTGAAAAGGAGCGAGGGAAGAAACTTCGGGGTAAGGGAAAGTTGAGGCATCCATCACTTAAGCACATTCATTTGGGAAACTCAGTTTAGCCCCAGCCCAGGTCCGCTTCACCCAGGAGCCTCCTCTCTTGCCTGTGCCTGGGATGCGCGGCATTGGTGGAGCCCCTCCCTCCCTGCTGCAGCTATTTCTCCAGGTTACCTGTGAGTGCAGTGCATCTCCAACTGGCATTAGTGGGTGATAAATACTTACTGAATAAATGAATGAAAGAAAAAATGTTTCTCAGAGAAAGACAAGTACCATATGATGTCGCTCATACTTGGAATCTAATGAACAAGTGGAACTAACAAGGAAAATGGGGACAGACTCACAGATGGAGAACAGGCTGACAGCTAGTGCAGGTTGGGAGGAAGTTGCGGGGTGGAGGGATGTAGCAAAAAGGAAAGAAGACCCATGGACACGGACAAGAGGGTGGTGATTGCAGGGGGGAGGGGGTATAAGGGGGATAAATGGTAATGGGGAAAATAAATAAATAAAGATTTGTTAGAAAACCATTTCCACTGCAGACTGGTGCAACCACTATGGAAAGCAGTATGGAACTTCCTCAGAAAACTAAAAATGGATCTGCCTTTTGACTCAGCAATTCCACTGCTGGGATTCTATCCTAAGAACCCTGAAACACCAATCCAAAAGAACCTATGCACCCCAATGTTCATAGCAGTACAATTTATGATAGCCAAGTGTTGGAAGCAACCTAGGTGCCCATCAGTAAATGAATGGATCAAAAAACGATGGTACATTTACACAATGGAATTCTATGCAGCAGAAAGAAAGAAGGAGCTCCTACCCTTGGCCACAGCTTGGATGGAGCCAGAAAGCATTATGCTAAGCGAAATAAGCCAGGCAGTGAAAGACAAATACCATATGATCTCACCTTTAACAGGAACCTAATCAACAAAACAAAGAAACAAGCAAAATATAGCCAATGACACTGAAATAGAGAACAGGCTGATAGAGACCAGAGGGGAGGGAATTTCTGGGGAATTTCAGGGGAGAATGGGAAGGGTTTACAGGAACATATATAAAGGACACATGGACAAAAACTAAGGGGGGTGGAAATGGGAGGGAGGTGGGGAGGGAGGGATGGGTGGGCTGGGATGGGAGTAAAGGACAGAAAACTGTACTTGAACAGTGATTAAAATAAAATTAGAAAAGAAAAAAAAAGAAAACCATTTCCATTTCACTTATGTGTAGGATCTAAAGAACAAAATGAAATTTAAACAGACTCACAGGTAGAGAACAGACCGACAGCTGTCAGTGGGGAGGGGGCTCGGGGTCTGGGTGAGAAGGCGAGGGGACTAAGTACAAATTGGTGGCTCTGAGATAGTCACGGGGAGGTCGAGTACAGCCTAGGGGACGCAGTCAGTGGTGCCAGGTGGGGACTGGAAATACTGGGGGGACACTTTGTAAAGTATTTGACTGCCTAACCACCATGCGGTGCACCTGAAACCAATAGAAGATAATATTGAATGTAAGCTGAAATTGAAAACAAACAAAGCCTGACCTCAAGGAAATAAAAGAAAAACACATTTCATTCAAAACTACAGCTGACCGCCCCACTGGACCCTCCCTGGCCACAGCTAGAAACGCTGGCCTCTGGTAAAAACCAGGCTCTCTTCCTGCTGCCACTTGTCGGCGTGTCTGTGCCCATGACCTGGCCCTGGGTTCCTCCCCCTCCCTCCCTATGGCATGCCTGTCACCCTCTTGGGGTGCCCAAACCATCTGAGGCTGAGGAATCAGGGGACAGAGCTGGGTGCACAGCTTTCTCCCAGAGTAAGGCATGGCCAGCCTAGTGGCATCCAAGCTTAGTTTCTCGTTTCCTGCCAGCTCCCGCAGTGGGCGAGGCAAGCGCTTACTCTGGTCCAGGGGCCAATTTCCTGGCTCATCTGTCAGCTTGCTGGAGCCGCATTTCCCAGTGGACATGCAGCAGCATGTCCCGTCCTGCCTAGCACTTTCTGGACCGGTCTTCGCCCCAAGCACTCCGACATTCTCTCTTCAGCTCCCTAAAGTGTTTCCCTTCTAATCCACCCTTCCCATCCACCTCACCTTTCAACCTCTAAACGACCTCTTCTTTTTGTGTTTCCAATCACCAGCGTTAAACCAGACACAGGCAGGCACTCATGTTTTGTGTGCTGACTGCACGCCTGGGCACCTGCTGGGCAGTGTGAGCAAGAGAAGATACAGATGGTTCATCCATCGAGGTACCAGCCATGGGTGCCAGTGAGCCAGCTGAGGGGAGAGCGAGGTGGTTCCTTGGGCTCATGACAATGATGGGGTGGGACAGCATCTGCTCCCCCAGGAACCCGCCTAACCCTTCCCAATCTTCCCAGCAGTCATCTCTTTAACACACACACAGTGTGAGTGATCCACTTAAAGTCCTGCTTACAGAAAACTCACTGCAGGGTCCTGGCCCATGTCTTTCCTTTCCTGGTGCAACTGTCCCCACCTCTTTCCCCGGACTTCAAACATGCCACCAATGCGCATGGCATCTAGATTCAGCTCGCTCCCTTCCTGCCTGGAATGCCTTCCCACCCGGCAACCCCCACCCCCCACTGGACTGCTTTAACACCTCCCGCCCAGTTCCCCTGAGGACACACAGCCTTTTCTGGCCTTTGGGTCAGAGGCGAGTGCTAGGCACCCCATCGGCCGCTGGGAACACCATTCCTGGCAGCTCCCTGGTCACCCTCCTTACTACAGCCCTCAGCATGCTGAGCTGCCACTCTCCACTTCCTGGGCCCGCTCCCTCTGGAGGGAGGCGTGAGCCCTGCACGGCCTTCTGCTTGGCATAGGGCCGGAACACAGCCCTTCCATAAGACACCAGATGACTGAGGGGCAGGGCACACGGAGGAGTAATCAAGGTTGGCATGGTATTTCTGTAATGATTCTGGTACTTTTAGGCTGGGTTAGGCAATATCCTCTTGCTAAGATTGGTATCAATGCTGAGACATATTGTATGCAGTTGTAAAGTCCCAGTTAAATTCCTTTGTACAATTGGAGAATAAAGCCTTTGATTAAAAACTAAAATTTCCCCAGACCTCAAGAAAGGGATGGGGGAGGGGAGCAGGTGTGGAAGGATGTCTGATCTGTCATATTCTTCAGTCAGAGCCGTAAACGTGTTTGGGTAAGACAAAGTGATGTTCTGATAACGGCAATAAAAGTGGCTTGAAGATTGGGTCACAGGAAGCCCAAGATAAATGCCGAGAGGAAACGGGTTCTTTTTGAAGTAGCCTCTTCATAATCATTTTCCCACACATTTGTTCAACTTCCGAAGGAGGACTGAGTATCTGATTTGCTTTGCAAATGAAACGGCTTAAGAATGTGACACTCACATAATGTTGTGACAAACGTGTTTGGAAGGCTCCTCCCGCTCACTTAAGTTGTGGCTTCAGAGCTGTGTTTGTTGTTCCCCCCTGCCGCGCACAGGCTAGCTGTGGTCCCTTCGGCTGAAGCTTGGGTTTTTTGGTTTTGATTTTGTTTGTACATGGTATTAAAAAAGATTTCTGGCCCTGGCTGGTGTGGCTCAGTGGACTGAATGCCAGCCTGCAAACCAAAGTATTGTCAGTTCAATTCCCAGTCAGGGCACATGCCTGGGTTGCGGGCCAGGTCCCCAGTGGGGGTCTTGCAAGAGTCAACCAATAAATGTGTCTCTCGCACATCAGCGTTTCTTTCCTTCCCTTCCCCTCTCTCTATAAAGATAAATAAAATCTTTTAAAAAATTAGGATCATCAGTAACAAAATGTCTTGTACCAATTTTGCTTTTCAATATAATTCACTCTGGTTTTGTAAACAATGGAAATTCCTCCAAGATTGACAATTTATTAATCACAAATTTTAGTTTATATTTTGTTTTGGCTTTTCATGCTTCAGTATCTTCCTAATACAGGAAGAAGCTGGGAGACATAATGAATACAACAGGACTTCAATTAATTTGTTGAATAAGTGAGTAAATGAATGAATATTTAGAGGTACCACTTTAAGGCTGGAAGTCTGTATATATAGGCTTTATGTATACAGAGTACTTATCTAAGGACTTGTAATTCTCTAATGTGAAAGATACATATGCCCATGATTTGTTTGTTAATCTCAGTTCCAAAGAATTTATCAATTCAGGCCCCAGTTCAGTAGGTTGAGTGCCAGCCTGTTTGATTCCCAGTCAGGGCACATGCCTGGGTTGCCAGCCAGGTCCCCAGTAGGGGGCAGGCAAGGGGCAACCACACACTGATGTTTCTCTCCCTCTGTTTCTCCCTTTCTTTTCTCTAAAAATAAATAAATAAAATCTTTAAAAAAAAAGATTTCTGGAGGGTCTTCGTAAGAAGTTGGGGTGGACAACATGCTGCTTGATGGAAGTGAGTCACAGCTCCAGAGCCCAGTGGGAGAGAGGAGGCAGAGTGCAAGGGCGGCACCAGGTACTGCCCTCATGCTACGCGCGCATGCACGCACGCACACACACGCGCTCGTGCGATGGGGTTTTACAGAAGCCAGCAGCTGAGCAGAGGAAGAGCATAGGCCCTGAGGCGGCTGCAGGAGGCTCCTCACCTATGCAAAGAGCACATTTAAGTCCTTTTGAAACTCGCCAACAAACCAAAACTTCTGGACACCCGTTGTGAGCTTAAGGCCTCCTCAGCACCGTGTCTGATGATTGAGAAATATTTGTCAAAAGGAGCCGTGATTAACAATAATCCAAGCCATGTTTACTTTAGAGATATTTTAAGCTCATTAATACCTTTTGAAAGAGCACAATATCATTACCACTCATAAATGTCTTCTTGCATGTTTCAGTGAGATATATTCTGCAAACACATTTCTTTAAGTATCTTTTCTCCAACACCTAATGAAAAGGATAACAAAACCTGGATAAACATATTTTTTAATCCACATCCAAGGATATATACTTTTCTATTGGTTTCAGAGAAAGGAAGGGGAAGATGGAGAGAGAGAGAGAAACACTGATTGGTTGCCTCCCGTACAGAGCCCGCCTGGGGACTGAAGCCATGCGCCCTGACTGGGGATCGAACCTGCAACCTTTTGGTGCATGGGACAGCACTCCATCCAACTGAGCCACCCAGCCAGGGCAAGAAGCACATTTAAAAACATCCTTCCCTGGCTTCTGTTGGAAGACCCATACCGGTATGAGTTTCTGGGTGTGAAATTAAACCAGGTGTGATGTTAACCACATGAAACCAAGATGCCCAGCACTAAAACCTGACTATTAATAGCAGGATGGACGTAAACACAAAAACAGTTTGGTAAAGAAGCAGATCACTACTACAGGCATTAGGTAAACATTTTTTATTTCTTATTTAACCATGCTACACATATATACAATAACAATATATACAACTTGAACAAATACAATTTATACATAAAATATAATAGAAGTGTGGCTTTTGAAATTAATGCAACAAACTCATTGTAGAATTTGTCATTTTGGCCAGTATACAGTATTGTAGTAATGCTACTGAAGTTAATGATTTAAACTAATCAGACTACTATGTAAGTTCAAAGGCACTAGGAGGATCTATGCTTTCTTCTAGCATTTCGAATCAAGAAAATAAATGTATACACTGAGAAACTGGGCAGACACTAGCGTACTGGAATGTCCGGCCCACCCATTCCTTAATTCACAGCCCTGTAGGGAAGACGGGAACCTTCCCTAAGAGTTAAGAGGAAAGACATTTTTTAAAGACTAAAGAGAAACAAAGAAACAACCCAAAATCATAAACATAACTTTCAAAAAATGTTACAGATGAAGAGGCATCCCCCCAATCCCAAAGTGACCTTAACTTTCTTGCCACAAAGAAAGGTCCCCTTTACCTAGAAAAGCAGATGACACAGCTTCTCCAGTAGGTTCCATCTGCGGGGTAAACACACAATGCAGACCCTCCCCCTTGATTAATCTTACACTTTACAAGAATCTATACAAAAATGGGGACTACTGCTATCTTTAATATCCTAACTATCAGCATATATAATTACAAAGTATATTAAAGAACATACCACAAACAAATAACACTCTACCAAGGCTCATTTTAATAAATAAATTTTACTTCTTTAAATTAAAAAGAAAATTCCCATTCAAAAAACTATTTCTATGTGACACTCATTTTAAACCTATTTCATATAATGAGCAGGTCTGCTCATCTCTCTCCTCACACGAAGTTAACACTGAGGCTGTACAACGTCTGCTCTGTGCACACAGACACAGTGAGTGTGAGGAAAGCACGGAGTTGCCCCGGCCGGAGCTAAAGGGGCGGCTGTGCGGCCGGCGCCCTGCGTTCCCCTGCAGTTACTGAGGCCTGCCTCTGAGACCTAATTTCGGCATTTCATAAGACGGATATTTATCATCCGTCTGGTATAATCAGTTTTATCAATTCTAATGTAAGTGCTTTTAAAAAAAACTGCCTCAGCAGCCTGTTCTCAAAGTCGCTCCAGCTTTGACTTCTAACAGGTTTCTTTTCATCATTGCAGGGGAGTGGGGCAGAAAAAAACCAGCACACTGGCTTAAGTTCTCTGTAGTGTTTTAGAGCTTAATGCAGAAGCTATTCCTTTCTTATTGGCTGGATGCTTACAGGCTAGAAACAAGGACTTTCAAAAGAAGGTTTCTCCAGAGCGATCACTGACAGAGTCAGAGGCGCACACAGGGCCGCCCCACCTGCGCACACCAAGCTCTCACAAGATGTGACTTCGCCCACATCTGCACAGCACATGCATGGTGCCTCCCAGAGCCAAATCATGGGCGTCTGTCTCGCACGTCACCAAGGAGATGCTGCCAGGGATGCAATTCTCCTTGGCGAGCAAACACGCAGCTGCACAAGACGTACAGGACACACCGCTGGGACACACGTGTTCACCCCCGCCTCACAAGGCTGCCAACCTTATTCACCCCCACTCTCTACACAGCTTTGTCATGATGAACCAATGTGTCATCCAACTCCTAAAATAAGGTGAACTTCATACTAATTTATGTGAAAGTTCACAAAAGACATATTAATTGGTGTAGATGTAGCATGTTGAAAAAAATAAAAATTCTGCAAGCAGCCAACAGGGAAATCACAATACTATCTATTACAACTTATTTTACTTTAAAATAAAAATTATTTTCATTTTTAGAGGAAGATGATCAAAGAAAAAAAGTATTTTAAAGGCAAAGAATTAAAAGCTACTTTTCTTGCTTTGGTTGCATTTTCTGGAAAATGGAGACTTTCTCAGTTTTGGAAGATACATAGCAATTTTCACCAAAACTTAGAACTCAGATGACAGCATCCATTAATCACACTTCACAATGATTTTTTTTTAAATATACACATATGGGCAGAGATTAGCAACCAGTATTTAGCATCTGAATTTTTTGCAACTGTGACTCCTTTATAATTAGGTACAAACTCAATGTTTCAAGAGAACATGAAATCAAAACAAAGTATATTTGACTTAAACTCAAAATGGCAAAAAAGGTCAAGAGAGATCTAGCTGAAACATCTTCAGCTTTTGCTTTTTAAACAGGTACACTTCTAAAGACTGTCTGTTAAATGACAAATCTACAGATCATCTAGTACTCAGAGTGCAATAAATGACAGTACAGGGAGTAGAACCTAGGTCAGCGGATCGGCGGACGTGAGGGCTGACTCACGGCTGAGGTGCGCCGCCCCTCCGCTCACCTGGCACAGCGCGACACGGGGCGGTCAGAGCTGCCGCCTTCGATGTGCGGAACACAACACGCCCAGTTGGGTGAACAGACAGCAGCTGAGCAAACTACTAGCAGACTCACGAGTGCACTTCGCCTGCAGCTCTCCAGAGCAGGGGCCGCTCCCCCAGCCTCCCCGCACCGGACAGACTGAAGGGTGACACGGCTACCTGAACAATGACCAGTTGTGCAATTCTAATATATTAACTTACGTACAGACAAAAAGTTATTAGGCAAACTACTAGAGTTCCAGTCTTACTCCATGATTTACAGCTTCTGCTCCGTGAAATTACATAAGTCTTCAGTGTTTTAATTAAATATCTCGTCCAGGCATTAGGATATCACTAGTTTTTATTGAGACTTTAAGTCTGTAACATTTACTGAAGTAAAGAGTCAATTACGGTTTCAGGCTTTGCAGAACGCTTTCTGTTTGGAGAAGAGAGAAAGAAAACATGAAGACTTTCCTGAAAGGCTGAAATGCAAACACTTTACATTACATAGCAGATACAACAATGGGGCCACGGGGCCTAGAAACAGGCCAAGGGCAGACAGGTTTGGCCACGTTAAGAGGTCTCGTCGGCTGCCTCCTCAGCCAGGGGAAGGTCACCTGGATTAGGTGACGGAGCACGGTGCCCCGCCCCCACCCAGAGAGCCGAGGGGCTGAGTGGATGATGATTTCCCAAACTGGACCAGACGACGCAGCCAGGCCAAGTGAGCTGCGTGCCTACCAGACTGAACCCCCTGATGATCTCTTCCGGGTCAGCTAAAGGCGCAGGCTCATTCAGTGAAACTCAGAGCCCACACCGCCTGGGGCAGCACCGCATGGATGTGCGTGTCCTGGGACTACTGCAGCGATGGACCGTGTTCACCGAGATTTCGTTTGCACCCTGAACCGTGCGTTTCTGGTGAGGAACATCGCACTGAACACTGTCGGCAGGCAGTCCAGTCGCAGTGAGCCATCTACTGTGCACACGTGTCTCTGTGTTTGACCTTCTGCTGTGTCATAACACAGCAGGCTAGTTCTGGTGCAGGGACGGTGGCTTTGGCTCATCCCAGGTTGTCTCACATGGATTTTTTTTTTGTTAAATCAAAAAGGTATTATTTTTAAGTGAGCATTCTGAAAACTGTATCCAAATAACTTATTGTTTGTTTTAGGTCCACATAGTTTTTTAAAAAGTGGCTAAAAATGGAGAGATCTCGTGTAAATAACTTGATTTCTAGCTTCTCTGAAGCGAGAAGAGTCAGAAACAACAAACAAGGGCCCCCTACGCCCCAAACCAGCGGGGGGCCAGCGTTCCTCTCCGACTTGCCCAAGTCCCTCCCCGGCCTACTTTTCAGCTGCATTGAGGCCACTGTCTCAGCGTTCACCAAAACACGTGCACTGCTCGTTTCCCCACCGACGGCAGAGCTCAGAGGGGAACGCTTCTACTGAAAGTGGACAAGGGAAGCTCTGGAGCGAGCTGCACTGTCTGCACTGCTCTGCTTCATTCAGTGACATCACACACATGGCTTCTGCGAGCACAGGAAAAGGGTTTTTTTCTTTTTTTCTTTCTTTCTTTTCTTTTTTTGTTACCTTGTTTGAAACCAGAGGAAAAGTTTTAACCCCAGCACCTAAATGGTAAAGATGTAAAATGTGTGCACTTTTAATGCACTACTGACTCCTCCTCCCTGAGGTCAAGCGCCCCAAATGTATAAACATCCAGTTATGTCTGTGAGGTCACACAACACGAACACATTAGGCCCACACCACCTCAGCCTACGCGTCACTCCGCAGTGCAGTGCTCGGGCAGGGGAAAATAAGCTGATTGCTCCCTCTCATTTCGGGAGCCTCACAGTTCTGTGGCCAGTTTAAACGAGCTCAGCGGTACCTGCTGTGGGGCGGGGAGAGAGGGAAGAGGCTCCAGGCTCCAGCATCCTGTTACGACACACACAGCCTCCTCAGGGTCGAAACCAGCACCCAGAGGAAGGAAGGTGGCCGGAGAAGTTCTCTTTACCTGGTGACTGAGGGGGCCAAAGCCCTCAGGACAAGGCTTACAACAGAAAAGACGAGTCAGCTGAGTGCAATACTTGGGTACTTGGGAGTCTAACCAAACAAATCCATTAGCATCGCACTCGAGGAATTACTATAAGAATTAAGGAATTAAGATAGTAGATGACTTAGAAAGAACAAAATACATTACAAATAAATTCTATTACTCAAGACAGCTAAAGAAGTTGGAAGACCTTAAGTCTTTAGTAAAATTTTATTTACTCAAATCATAACTACATAAGCACTTTGATATTGAAATATATCAGCCAAAATATCAGCCTAACTAAATTTCCTTTCAATGTATCTTATTAGCATATCTCACAGCCTTGATTTTACGAGACTCAAAGGCAGTCCTTACCGTCTCCCCGTCTTGGGCCTTGCTTTCCCCTTGGAGGTCCGAGGCCTCTCCAGCCTCATCAAGGACTGCCGCAGGCTCTCCTCGGTGTAAGCAAGATACACGTGGGAAAGGTCCACTTCGAAGGGCTGCGAACAGGAAACCAACACCGGATGCTCTTAGAGGAAGAATTTAGATCACACTTGGGGAAAGATTTAAAAGACTGACTAAGCCCTGGCTGGTGTAGCTCAGTTGATTGAGCACAGGCCTACAAACCAAAGGGTTGCTGGTTCAATTCCCAGTCAGGGCACATGCCTGGGTTGTGGGCCAGGTCCCTAGTTGGAGGGATGAGAGAGGCAACTATGCATTGATGTTTCTCTCCCTCCCTCTTTCTTCTTCCCCTTCCCTCTCCCTGAAAATAAATAAATTTTTAAAAAATAAAATACCGAATAAACTCTAGAAAAAAGCCACAGGACACAAGACCAAACAAATGTCTAAAAGTCATCTTCTTTAATGCCATTTATCTCACACATATTCAGCAAGGGCTGGTGAGTGAGCCCTGGGGCAGTATAAACTCCTTGGGAGTAAAGCAAAACTGCTGCCGTTTCCCCAACGCTGGTATTTCTTCTGCTGGACCTAAGACTAGGACTAGCTTTGAAAAGGACATTCTAGCTTCTGGCCAATATGGAGGCATAATAGACACACTGTGCCTCCTCCCACAACCAAAAGAAGGACAACAACAAATTTAAAAACAAAACAACCAGAACTGCCAGAAAATCGAACTGCATGGAAGTCCAACAGCCGAGGAGTTAAAGAAGAAACATCCATCCAGACGGGTAGGAGTGGTGGAGGTGGGCAGCCTGGGTGGGAAGGAACCTCAGCAAGGCAGCGGCTGGCTGAGCAGGCAGTCCCACATTCAAGTGCGGATAAACCAGGAGGAATAACTGGAGAGCGAGAAGACCCCACAACCCAGGGCCCCAGTGCCGGGAAATAAAGACTCAAAACACTGATTGAAAACACCTGTGGGGGCTCAGGTGCTGGGAGAGACTCCCAGCCTCACAGGAGAGTTTGTTGGAGAGACCCACAGGGTCCCAGAACACACACAAGCCACCCACCCAGGAATCAGCACCAGAAGGGCCCAGTCTGCTTGTGGGTAGTGGGGGAAGTGATTGAAGTCCGGCAGAGAGTGGAGCAAGTGCCATTGTTCCCTCTCAGACCCTCTCCCACAGAAAGTGCAACAACACAGTGACTGGGTTGCCCCGCCCTGGCAATTAGCTAAGGCTCTATCTGTCACTGCATAACACTACATGCGCAGAGACAAAAAATGGCCCAAATGAAAGAACAGATCAAAGCTCCAGAAAAAATACAACTGAGTGATGGAGAGATAGCCAACCTACAGGAGGCACAGTTCAAAGCACTGGTAATCAGGATGCTCACAGAACTGGTTGAGTGTGATCACAAAATAGAGGCAAAAGTGAAGGCTATGAAAAGTGAAATGAAGGGAAATGTACAAGGAACCAACAGTGATGGGAAGGAAACCAGGACTCAAATCAACGGTTTGGACCAGAAGGAAGAAATAAACATTCGACCAGAACAGAATGAAGAAACAAGAATTCAAAAAAATGAGGAGAGGCTTAGGAACATCTGGGACAACTTTAAACGTTCCAACATCCGAATCATGGGGGTGCCAGAAGGAAAAGAGGAAGAGCAAGAAATGGAAAACTTATTTGAAAACATAATGAAGGAGAACTCCCCTAATCTGGCAAAGGAAATAGACTTCTAGGAAGTCCAGGAAGCTCAGAGTCCCAAAGAAGCTGGACCCAAGGAAGCATATACTAAGGCACATCATTATTGCATTACCCAAGATTAAGATAAAGACAGAATCTTCAAAGCAGCAAGAGAAAAGGAGACAGTTACCTACAAAGGAGCTCCCATCAGACTGTCAGCTGATTTATCAAAAGAAACCTTAGAGGCAAGAAGGGAGCTGGAAAGAAGTATTCAAAGTCATGAAAGGCAAGGACCTACAACCTAGATTATTCTATCCAGCAAAGCTTTCATTCAGAATGAAAGGGCAGATAAAGTGCTTCTCAGATAAGGTCAAGTTAAAGGAGTTCATCATCACCAGGTCCTTATTATATGAAATGTTAAAGGGACTTATCTAAGAAAAAGAAGATAAAAAATATGAACTGTAAAACGACAACAAACTCACAACTATCAACAACCCAGCCTAAAACAAAAACAAAAACAAACTAAGCAAACAACTAGAACAGGAACAGAATCACAGAAATGGAGATCACATGGAGGATTATCAGTGGGGAAGGGGAGGGGGTAATGGGGGAAAAGGTACAGGGAATAAGAAGCATAAATGGTAAGTAGAAAATAGACAGGGGGAGGTTAAAAATAGTGTAGGAAATCGAGAAGCCAAAGAACGTGTATGTATGACCCATGGACATGAACTAAGAGGGGAAAACGTGGATGGAAGAAATGTGCAGGGCAGAGGGGAATAAAGGAGGGGGAATGGGACAACTGTAACAGCATAATAAAATATATTAAAAAAACATCTAGTCACCAACCATATCCCCATGACCCAGAAAAGCGGTGGAAAGATGAGTCCAGGAAGACTCCAGGGCGGTCTTGCGGCAGAAATCAGCCCGCTGGCACCACCAGCAGCGTGCGCCGCCCTGACACCTGCAGCCCTGGAGCCTCCATTCCCCGACGAGCAGCCTGCTCTTTCAGCACAGCTGAGTAACAGATACCATGCTGATAACATAATTTAGTGACCCACATTCCTATAAAGAAACACTGTAATGTTTAAAAAAGGCACTCTTACATCTTTCTCTTTTTTATCAGGAATTGGAGTCTGCTTCCTCATGTTATTTCCTGTGTAGGCGACACATTTCTCAAAAAAGAAAAAAGAGACAGGAAAGAATCGTTTTAATTAGTAATTAATACTGTGAATTAACAAATTACTGAAGATGCCCTGATGCTAATGACACTGGGACAGAAAAGGGCCTAGAGGCTCGGTAGCCCTGCGCAGCCCTGACCAGGCATTTCCACCAGACTTCCGTGTGCTCTGATACGGTTCATCAGAAAAACATCTCCACCCGCCAAAACTCATTGGATTCAGCGTCTGGACCACCTGCCTCCCCACTGGCGCCAGCAAAACCCCTAGTCTGCAGGAAGTACTATACAACTCGCCTGGACGAAAGGGTGCAGGCAGTACTCACCAGCTGCCACTCTCCTATGTCTTCATTCCAGTGGACATAGTTTTCAATCATCTCCTTTTTAAAAGAGTCCAAGATAGTCTGCTTTTAATATCTAATAACATTTAATAACACTTAAAATACTAAAAAACATTCATGAAACTAAAATCTTTATGATCAAGGGGAAAATTTGTCTTAAAACATTATATGCTGCATGATACACTTTTTATAAATTTCAAAATATATGCTTTTAAGAAATATATACAACTAAAAAGCAAGAAAGCGAAGAGCACTGGACTCTGGAGGAAGGTTACCTTGAGCTGGAAGAGGCACAAGGTCTGGGAGCAGGTGACGGCCATGGTGCCAGCTTTTGTTCGGGGATGAGCTCCCCACGCAGTAACTGCCTAAGTGGAGGCCAGCCTCCAAGGGCCAGGAAGGAGTGTACCGAGAACCGAAGGTCAGTTCTGTACACCTCATGTCCAAAGGAGAAAAATACTAAGGCTTATTTGTAGAGAAATTTCTCATGGCCGTATAGAATTGCAAAGTAAATTTTTCAAAAAATCATTATGTGAAAGTATACTAAAATGTGCTGGAAAGATGAATATTTTGAGTAAAACAAAAATAGAGGCAGGGACTCTTAAATTATATGGTGTTGTACTAGCTCTGAGAAGTAGCACCCATCTGGAGACGGACACAGTATCAGTGACCATGCTACTGAACACAGTGAGATCACCAGCTCCGTGTTCCGTACACCGCCCCCCTCCCCGCACACACACAGGTGGCGTCCGAAAGCGGGAGGGGAAGCTGACGCAGGCGCTCCGCTCATTCTGCTCGCAGGGCAGGGGACGCTGAGCGGAAAGCAGCGCCTGTGCCTTGCTTCTGACAGCAGTTACAGTGAGTCCTCACTAGTGTCACTAACAGGTTCTCGGAAACTGCGACTTTAAGTGAAATGATAATGAAACCAATTTTATCATAGGTTAATTGATATAAACAAGAGTTAAGTTCCTATATTTCCGGCCATAAAAACATCACCAAACCTCTAAGTAAAGGCCCAAAACTACTAATTTTAAACAATGGAATAAATGTAAGACACACATACACTTATGAAAGACTAAGATGCTTATTTTCCAACCTGCTTATCTACTTGAGGGAAAGATACTCATGGGAGGCCGGAGCTCGTCCAGGCAGCCGGGGGCTCGAGGTGGCACCCCGCCCTGGACAGGGCGCCCTATAGTTACGGTGCACGCACTCACTCACTCACTCGGCCTGGCATGACGCAGACACACCAGTCACCTCACAGGCACATCTCTGGGATGCGGAGGGAAACCTGAGACCCCGAGAAAACCAATGCACACTGGGGAGGACATGCCCACTCCACACACACAGTGACTCCAGCTGGAAGTCAATTTTTCTTCCCTCTTCAACGATGTAACAAAACAACAGCGATGGAAACAGTGCTGTTTGCGGACCTGCTGGACATGAATCTAGATTTCTCTAAAGGGCTGAGAAATTCCTATTTAGATACTTAGATACTCAGAGATTCACGTATTAAGAAAAGTTAACAGCTGAAGTGAAATGCTATGGCATTACTTCAAGGAAATCTTACTGTTGACAACTGAAACGGAAATATTTACCTCCAATTAAGTGACAAACTATACTTCCTTATTCCTTAACTGCAGCCAAGGGACCGACCTAATATCTAAATCAGAGAACTTCCATCTTACCTGATAATCCTGAGGTATAAAGTTATCAATAATAAGCATCTGAAGTCGAAGCTCCCGGCTAAGCTGTCGAATGTTCTCCAGTAAACCTTCAATTTCCCTCTGATGTTCTTGTTGGAGATCAGCCATCTATGTGAAAGTCAATGCAAACATTAAAGAGAAACAAGATTGAAAATGCAAACCGGTCCAAACTGACATAGGGCACTGGTCTCAGAAACCCTGGAGGAGCCGACCCAGTTCTTTCACAAACACAATGGACAGAATGCCACTCACACTGTCTTCTTTGATGCACATTAGTTGTTAAGGTTGGAAATTTAGTTTAATAGCTAGAATTAGAAATTGCATGTAAAGAAGAAATTTTTATCTCTTTAAAATTGTAAGTATACATTATGATTCCTTTAGGATTCTTAATCACACTTAATCAAAGAAATTCTTCTTGAAAAAATTCGGAACTACATTAGTAAGCAGTTTCTAAGAAACCGACCTCTGACTTTGCAGCCATTAGCATAGTCCAGACTTTCTTTAATTTCTTGGTCTTTCCCTGTGCTTCCTCTTGCAAACTGGTGTATTTTTCTTCAATATCCAAGCGTTCTTGCTATTACAAAAATTGATAAATGTCAGAATGATATTTTCATTAAATCAGAATTTAACAAATAATATGTTTAGTAACCATTATCTTCAAAGCAACCCCTAGATCTGCTTTAAAATAATATTAGAATTATAGATATTTAGCTTTTCACCAGAAAAGCTAAATACCTTAGGCAACATACCATAGCTTCGGCTGATACAAGAACTCACATTACCTCTTTCTCCTCCAGTTCTCTGCGAAGTTGCTCTGCTCTCTTCCTCCTTTCTTCCAGTTCCATATTAGATTCTTCAAGAAGTTTTTCTTGTTCCTCAGCTTTTGCCAACAAATCAACACCACCAACAATTACCTTCTTCTCCAGTGCAGATAATTTCTCTAGCAAAGACTGATGCTCTTGTCTGTTGATTGAAATGAAAATACTCTATATTCATTGATTATCTGCTATTCTACCAATATCACTTAACAAAATCTGATAAGAACTTGGACGCAAAATTTCAAAATAGGAATATAATTATGTAACACCTCTGTCAAATAATACCTCTGGGTCCATTAATTTACGATTTGACCTATAACTAATTCAAATTCGCTGATTTTTTTCTCATATAGAGAGGAATTAACCAAACAGATGTAATATTTAGAAATATAACATATAAAATGAAAACTTCTATCCAAAAATAGCTTCTCTGGAGGCAAAAATCAACATTTAATTACTACTCAATTTTCTTGTTTATACATCCTATGAAAAATGCCAGACATTTAAACCACAAACCCACATCAATTCAGTAATACGCACTGGGCCTTAAGAAGGTCTTTCTCCCGTTTCTCTAATTCAGCTCTAGCCTTGTTTCTTTCTTCTTCTTCCATGTCAAGCTTTGTTTCAAGTGCTTTTCTCTCTTCGTCAATCTTTGCTTGCATTTCAACCATCTTATCTGGGGAAACTTTCTTTTTACCTATTTGAGTCATTTAATTACAACAGTCACTTTAGAATCAGTGTTTCAGACTCGCATAGAGTCTCTTCGTTTTTATAAAAGACGCATGCCTCCATAATGCAAAATCCAATGTTAACATTTCAAGGAAATCAAATCAGTATCTCATGTTTCTAGAAGAACTTTTAAACTAATTACTAAAGTCAAACTTTTCCAATTGTGCAGTGACAAACGTAAGCAAAAGAGAAGCAAAACAGATGAGCAGAGGAAAAAGACAAAGAGAGATGAACAGTAAAGCCAAAAAGAAAACAACCCAAAACAAGACAAAAAAAACACACAGATCTGTACGTCCCCAAATAACATATAGTCAAAAAAGCCATATGACTATTTAGTTACTTTTTTCTGATAACCAGGTACAAAAATCAAGTGATTTCTCAAAATACCTCCCCAAAATTTACTGAAATAAGTAAGTAAAAGTCACATATAGATATAAAATGAACAGATAAAAATATCAGTCAGAACTTATAGCTAGTAGTTTTTAATATATATCTTCAGAGTGTTTATAAAATTTTTAATAAAATTACTGGAAATTATTTTATTTCATAGTATACTTTTAAAGGGAAAATTCTATATTAATTACATAACAGTTACACAGTAATTGATCAGGCATTTTATAGTTGCTGAGCTATCATGATATATTTTAAATAAAAAAGTCAAGTAACTCATTATGTCAAATGCAGGGCCCTAAATCTCTCTATGTCAGATTAACTATGACAAGTGTCAAGTGTCATTACACTATGACAAGTGTAGAAATACTACAAAATAATCAAGCTGGAAATATAGCTTCCAACTGATGTTTTGATTATAATGTCTAGTAAGTAGAGTGGTCTTTATACAAATAAACAGTATAAATGAAAGTGTTACATTGTTATAAACAGTATTCAATAAAAGTTTATTGACTAAATTTCCAAGTGATGAAATTAAAGTGAAAAATCAAAAGAAGAAAAGAAAAACTAGTGTATTAAACCGGCTATGAAACTGACTCAAAGATAATTCATTTCTGGTAATACAATTTCTTTGAAACATACTTTCCTTCAGAAAAACAATCAAACTTTTCGTAGAACTGGTCTGAGGCTCTCCTGAGAGCTTTCTGTATTTCTTAACTTCCTTCTCGAAGGACCACAGGAGAGTGTGAACCAGAAGACTTTATAAATCGTTAATGTCTCCACCCAAAAGCTAACCCCTCCTGCTAATAAGGAAAGAGAACTGAAAAATAATGATAAGATACACAAGTATATATATCTGAATATATTCTTTTAGGAACCATCAGACAAAGAATCATGCATAGGCTTTCATTCTTTAGGATAAAATTATGTTTAAAAATCCAAGGTTTAAAATATAGTACATTTCATTTCTACAGAAATATAAGTCCAAAGCAAACTTAAGCCATGAAGCAAATAAGTTAAATAAAAAGAGTAAATAAAAGCACTGATCCAGATTCATGCTCTGGTGTGGTGTGATTCTTTGCATTCCAAAAGACTGATTCTGCTGGCTTCATTGTCACCTGTATTTAATGTTCTGAATTACACTATTAAAAGACAAAGAAGTGCCCACTGGTAATACTATTTCTTAGAAATTTGAAGGGGGAAGTAGAAGTTCAAGGATAAAGTAAGTGCATGCACAATAAATTATAGCTTCCATTCCACCTCAGAATTACAATTTTTTTAAAAAAGGTGAATATATTAAGACAAACAAAGCTGTGTATGAAGACATGGATACTAACTGCATAGCGAAAATGACCTGATCGATCTAAGCACATTCCTTTTTTAGGCTCCTAATTATTTTGTTAACAGTTGCCCATTAAGAGACGTAAAAAACATTTTATATGTAGAAATACAAAAGCATGTCTATTGATGAATTACTACTATGCTTAAATTGCATTATTTTTTAAAATTTAGGTAATATTTTCAAACTGATGTTTTAGCAACAAAGATCTTATTGTGTTCTTGTAACATTTTCATAAAAATGACCAGGCAGCCCTGACTGGTGTGGCTCGGGAGGCTGGGCTCATCTGGCAAACTGAAATATCACGGTCTGCTTCCTGGTCAGAGCACCTCCTGGGCTGGGGGCCAGGCCCTTAGTTCGGGGCATGTGAGAGGCAACCGATCAATGTTTCTCTCATGCATCCATATTTCTCTCCCTTTCTTTCTCCCTCTTCCCCACACCCGCAAAAAAAAAACAAAACCAAAAATGAAAATTTTTTTAACGACCATGCATGTACAGCTAGGTTCAGTTTCAAAAGTCTTATATTTCGCTAACATGTTGTTACCAGAATTATTCCTGTAAGTTATTATATTTCCCCCCAAATAATATTTAACCTAAATGTAAATATGTAGCAACTCTCTTAACCAGGACCTTAAAAATGTGAGATCACTAAAAGTCACTTTTACAGTGATTTAAAAAAAAATTTTATATTTAAATTATTTTATTGTTGTTCAATTACAGCTGTATTTTCTCCCCATTTTTTCTTAAAAATCTTTATCAGCAAAACCAACCAACCAAAAAAATGCTTCTTCTAATACTGCACGATAGAATTCAGCACAAATTTCCAGATGGATATTTTTAAAAATGTTAACGTCATAGAGCATTGAACTAAGCCAAACAGGAGTGGCAATGCTTATGACTGCCCTGCGCCATGTGCTCTGTCTGGGGCTGAAGGGGACTTGGCAGGTGAAGCCAGAAAGAAGGGGTCTCGGGGGTGCTGAGTGCTGCTGACTGAGTGAGTGCATTTCACCTGCACGACTCGAGCACCCTCGGGCATAAGTAACCAAGCACTTGATTCCTCACTTTAAACAAAAAGGGAAATTTGGCTTAATGGGTCTTTAAGAAATCCAGAAAAAAAGATCATGCCAGCTAGTTCTGATGATGTGTGTATTTTTGTCTGTGTTGTTAATTAGGTCTAGCATATCCTGTGTGTCTGTCACTGCCAATTTAATACTTCTGAATTGTTCCCCTAAAAAGATCATTTTGAAATAAGAATGTTCCTATTATTCCTGAATAAAAACTGAAATAAATTTTTTAAAAATTGGGAAAAAGGAAGCTTTTTGTTTAAAGCTAAAGTTGAAGGATTTTTTTAAAATACAAAAGATGGATACTTACCTTGTAAAAAATTAATTTTTAAAAAATGTAATATAATTAAATGACAAAATCCTTTATAGTTTAAGTAAGTGTACCACATGGATTGCAAATCAATCACACCAACCTGCTTGATCTTTCAGTAAGAAGTAGCAAGCAAATCGTAGACAGGAAGCATATGCACAGAGATGAGGAAGAAAAAAAGAAAAACATTATTTTTTATGTAAAACAAAGAAAATTGTATAATAGCATTTACTTTATAGTATAAGCATAGAAATAATCAAATCATTATCAAAACTGAAATAGAGCAGTTTTATGTAAAAAAGAAAAGCGTACTCAACACAATTGGAGGTGTAATTTAAGCAAAGATAATAGGAAGATTAACTTAGTCTAAGATTACAATTCAAATCAATCTCAAGAGCCCACACCACTCCCAAACTCCTGTGAATGTAACAGTTCCGTACCACGTGGGCACAATGACGGCGGACATGGAATTGGGAAACTGCTAAGACCTGGGGAGTATTCGAAAAGAGCAAAACAGAGCATTAAGCCAATTTTTAAGAATTAGTAAGTTAAAGGCTGCAAAATTCACATTGTGCATTTTTAAAGTTTCCCAGTTCAATGTTCTTCCATTGTAAGGATCTATTACAGGTGTGCCTCCCTTTAAGAAAATCCAGCTCAAAAACCTCAACCCCAAATTGGATTGTAGCAACTTGCACTGATTGTTTGGTTAACGAAAGGATTTAATGAAGAATTCTTTTTAAAAAGCAAGCTTTCCCAATACATTTTCTTTTCCAGCTTGATTTAAAAGCAATTTTTTTCAGGGGAAAAAAAGCCCACATTTATTGCATAAAGTGAAGTACACCTGTATAATAACAAACTTGCATTCAGTCTCTTAGTGGATTGTTAAGGAGAATTACAGTAATGACTCTATAGGAGTAAATAATCAATTGATGATTCAAGCAAAAAACACCTAAATAAAAAGGCCATTCACATTTTTTAAAGGGAAGGTGTGTACAAGCCACACACAGCAACCACACGTCGGGACGGCCGTCTCTGCACTTCACCAGCGCGCCCCCGTCACAGGGAAAAGAGCTGCCTGTCGTGTGCTCGGTGCACAGACCGTAACTAAGACTGCGTGAACTGAACCGAGTGCAGCTCATCTCATAACACACTTCCCTACACGTGGTCTTTAAGGGTTAGGTAAGTTTTAAAACAGGAAATTCCATTATAGTCCCTCCTACTCAGATATTTTGTTGTATTCCATAGTTTATAATACAAAATCATACCTCTATATAGTTTCTAAAGCAATGCCATGTATTTTATATTATCCTCTGAAATTAATTGTTTTGGTAAAATTTAAGAATTGTCAATAAAGAATACAATTCCTAATATTCTTGGAATTCTTCCTCTAGAAAGCCCAAAACATAAGAACAATGACCAAATGTTTTTGCTATTAGTTTTGAAAGGTAAGTATATAGATAATGCTTGAAAAGACAGTAAGCTGCAAACTAGTACAAGAAAGCACCAATTCCTCTTTCTTCTGAAGATAAAATATAAATAAAATAATGCTTTTCAATTTAATTAAGGTTTAAGAAAAAGTCTTTAGGTTTGAAATAAGTTGCTAGATCCTGCATAAACAATTTCTTATGGATCTGACCTCTCCAATCATACATTAGAAAATTCCTTAAAACCAATCAGGTAATTTAGAAGGGATAAATGGCCATTTGATATAAAATGCTATTCAAGTTATTATCACTTGCTTCAAAACTTTACATTTCCTTGGTCTGGGAGCTTTCACTCGAGTCAGCTGCCCTGAGACCAGGACTCCGAAGCCTAAAGACTTCCCGACTGGAGCACGGGTCACAGTGGGTTCTGGTGCACTTCCCAACAGAATCTGGATGTTTAGAAATTCAGGATTTGTTACTACATGTCCCTTATACTCACTAGGATTAGAAATTTGTCATGAAATATGAAAAGGAACCATCAGAGGTATTCTTTTATACAGCTTACTAGCTCTCTTTACATTATCTCAATTGCAAAAGCGTGAATCTCTCTTCCATTGTCTCGAGCATAAGCTTAAACACATGTTCAATGATCGTGGATTACTGGAAGCAATGAGGGGGGAGGGGGGGATCATCACATGCTTTGTTCTACCGGGAAGTCCAGCACGTGTTCTTTGAGTCATGACAGGGAGCAGTGCAGCATTTCCCAAGTGAAGCCCATGGGTTATGGAGAAGCCGAAGCTCTGTTAGAGAACTTAAGAGCTACCACTCACTAGGCAAGAACTTATCCAGAGGTTTCTCTATGACAGAACATGTGGAGTCTGAACTACTGCTGCTGCTACTGCCTGGAAGACAAAGAAATGAGCCCACAGAGAACCGAAGGAAAAGGAAACAAGAAAAGGAGCACATACACAGAGAAAAATTCAGTTCCAGAGAGAGAGTTTTCATGGACAATCAAGCTTTGTATTACAGAACCAAAACTTACTTTCCCTTAAAACCAGCCTCGGTGGCCTAGCCCAAGCTCTCTAAGGGCGAAGCCATGCGGGGAACTAGACACTGTGTCCCCCTGTAAGTGCCGGCTGCGGGCGGACGCCACTGTCCACCTCAAACACAGGGGTTCAGAGGGTTGGCATGACAAGAACCAGAAATTGGTAGTCACTTGGTGACATTTAAGTCTATTTAAGCTTCTTAGGCTAACAAGTTAAAGGAACGTGAGTTTTAAGACCTGAACTCATGCACAATTACAATTACGAAAGTGATGGAACACCCTTCATCACAGACGGGTTGCTCTGTCTCCAGTTCCACCTGGTCCTCTAACCACCACACTACCAGAAATGACGGTGTGTGTTTTAAGGCTCCATGGCAAAATTTTAAAAAGCTCAATGAACATTTTAAAATTCCTAAGCCTCAAAAAAAGGTATTTTACTATTAAATATTTTAATATTTAAAACAGTAGCATTTTTTGCTATTTAAAATTTTATTTTTAATGTATCTATTATCTGCTTTAGCTTTGAATAGCTTACTCTGTGAAAAATAGGTATGAACACAAAACCAATTCTTTAAATCAGGGCTTGGCAAACATTTTCTGTAAAGGTACAGATAGTAAGCATTTAGGGCCCTGGCCAGGTGGCTCAGTTGGTTGGAGCGTCGTCCCGTGCACTGAAAGGTTGCAGGTTGGATTCCTGGTCAGGGCACACACCTAGGTTGTGGGTTCAGTGCCCAGTCGGGGAGTTGACAGGAGGCAACCGATCCATGTTTCTCTCTCACATCGATGTTTCTTGCTCTCCTCCTCCCTTCCTCTCTCTAAAAATTCAATAAACATATCTTTGGGTGAGGAAAATAACACTCACTTAAAAAAATAAGTGAGTGTTTAGGTTTTGTGGGCCATACCACTTCATGTGAAAGCAACCCACCATGCATCACACATAAACAAATAAGCATGGCTATTTAATAAAATTTTATTTACAGAAACAGGTTGTAGGCCGAATTTGGCCAGTACGCCATGTTTCACCAACTCCTACTCTAAATCATGCTTTTCCTGTCTTCTGAAGTTATAAAATCTTTATGGTTTGTAAATATGCAAGCCCTAATGGAGCAGTGATGGGTTTATTATCACAAGATCATTTTTATTTCAACGTTCAATTTCCTTCAATGACCCCCAGCTCCCTGAAGAGTAGGGACAGGCAGCTAGGCAACGGCAAGAGATGTTCACTGGGAGATCTGGCCCTGACTGAGATCATTTTAACAAGACAAGCGAAATATGCACCAGCTTGAATACAATGATCCACATTAATGGAAGAGAGTTCTGAAATAAATAAATATTTAAGGTAAAAGATCAGAAATGCAGGACATTATAATATGTCTCTCTCTTTTACATGTTATATGTAGCTTTATCACAATAAACTAAGTCTTAATTCATACTTCACAACAAATGGCACATAACAGGGTGAAAATGAAAGCATACTTTATAATGAAGAAAATTAAACTAAAAAATAGAATACTTATACAAATTTAAAAATTCAATGAATTCTAAAGCCCAATTTTGCTTGAGAAAAACTTCATATTATCCTAATTTCCTAGATTTTAGGTTCTTAACACAAATAAGAGTCCCCAAATAAAACTAAAAATCTACATGAAATTTTAAAATGGTATATCCACTATCACTGGCTTACGATTCTAAAAAAAGAACATGTGCGGTATTCTAATTCGGCTATAAACAGGAGATCAATATAGCAGAAGAGATAATGCAAAGCCAACCAGGTCTATGTCATACTTCTTCTGAACTGCTACCACAACTAAACATGGCAAAAAAAAAGGCATGCACTCAGCTTCCTCGGGGACGTTAAACCATCATTAAGTAGCAATCCCAGGCGATTCCTAGAACCAAAATGAACTTACCCCTTCGTTTTTTCCTTTTCTCTCCATCGTCCCCAAGCTCACCCTCTTCGTCGTCATCCTCTTCTGACCCGCTGACGTCAGAGCCCGATATCTCTTCCCCTGGACAGAAATTTAACACGATGACTTTTACTCTGTACCAGGTCGTTAGCTATTTAGAAAATGCCTGGATTGACTTACTTCATTAAGTTTTCATTGCCCTAAACAAACCTTGTATTAAAATTCCTCGACACTATACCAGGCATGCTAACCTCAGAAATAGACATGATGTACACAGAGGCTTTATTTTTAAATTTCCTAAAGAGAAGCTGAACTCTAATCCATTTAAAATTTCAAATAATAAAGTACAGTTCTAAGTATATATAAAGATTACATTGTAGAGCTATTTTAATCTTTTAAAAGTGTGATCACTTTTGGGGACCATTTTCTCTTCAGTTTTTTGTTTAAGATATTAAATAATCCATTCAACCTGTGCATTTTTTAAGAGCCATAAGACTGTCATCTAACATAGTGATCCCACTTTTGGAACTACATCACAACAAATATTTCAAAAGAGAGACTTATTTATACAGAGATTACGTTAACTTACCTAAAAAGCAAATAAAAGGGAATAATTAAACTAATATTAATTAAGGTCAGTACTATATTACCTTCCAAAAAGTTATTGAAAAATACCACTGTCCATATATGAAATGTCTAAGGAAAAAAAATTGGGAGAAAAACAGAATATACACTAATCACAATGAGGTAATATTTGAACCTGTAAATCAAGAATGGAAAGAGATCACAGAGTCTTGGGATAAGGAATTCATTGAAACATACACTGTTCTTTAGGCCTGGAAACAATGACACCCCAGTAGCAGTGTGCACACCCCGTGCTCAAATCTTGGTTTCTAAATACCATTCTCCAGTGAAAGGAACCAAGGAGAAGAGCTGATTTTAACGCTGGGGGAGAGAAAATCGCCAAACATCTGTGGTGCCAGAGCCTAAGTGCTAAACAAACAAAGACCTCGCGGGAGCGTGCTGAAAGGGCACAGGAGCAGCCCTGCAGGAGCTCCTGGAGGCCAAAGCTGAAACGGTCTGAGCAATAAAGTAAGTAATAATGTATTACAAACCACAAATATCCACAAGTCCACACTGACAAACGTAAACAACTGAATAAATAAGGGGGAGAAGGGACTGCTTTTCCATACAACAGAATTCCTAACACTAAACATCAGAAGGAATGGTGGAGAGAGCAAGTCACCAATGAGTAATGCCACAGAACTGCTGCTTCAGGCAGGAGCCTTTGATGGTGCCAAAATTAGTGGGAGAAAGTGGAAGGAGAAACAGGACCTCTGTATAGTCTCAAAGTAGCTCCACACAAGATAGGTATTAACTGCAAAGGAAAAAATAAAATAAACAGATTTATAGTAGAGAAATCTTACAGAATAATCATGAGAGAGCTACAAGCAAAGCCAAGCTGAGAAACCTTCTACAAATGCATGACCAGCCCTCTTCAAAAGCACCAGGACTGTGGAAGACCAACCAAGCCTGAGTGGCTGCGGATGGCAGGGGACTGAGAGGCCCGGCACCTGAACGCAGGACGAGTCCTGACCGCACCCAGGACAGAGAGAATGGGCACAGGGGGAAAACCGCCAAAGTTCAAGTATAATCTTCACAGCGATGACTATTTTAAAGTTAAATAAAACTATTTCACTGGTGTGGCCTAGAAACTTTGAGTAAGATCTGCAGACGAGTTAATCTGCAGATTAGTTCACATGAGATGTGAACGTTAAGGGAAGTTGGGTGATGGTAATACAGAAACTCTCCTCAATATATTTGTAAGTTTTCTATAAGTCTAAAGTTATTTCAAAAGAGAGTTTAAAAAGTATTATTTTAATATTTGGCCTACTTTTTATTATGTATATGATCAGTTCTGTTCATTGTGCTCCAAAAACAAATGTCCTATGAGCAAAAATAAAATGAAATGTGTTAAGAATAAGGTCAGCATTTCCATATGACCGAGCAGTTCCACTTCCAGGTGTACGCACAAAAAACTGACAGCAGGGCCTCGAAGAGGCAACATATACCCACATGCACGACAGCATTATTCGCAACAGTCAGAAGGCAGAAGCTACCCAAGTGCCCATCGACAGATGAACGGATAAAGAAAATGTGGCCCCCACACACAATAGAATATTATTCAGCCTTAAAAAGGAAGGGAATTCTGACACATGCTACCACATGGATAAACCTTGAGGCTATCATGCTAAATGAAATAAACCAGACCCAGAGGAATAAATACCATATGGTTTTACTTACATGAGGTACCTAGAATAGTCAAATTCAGGGGCAGAAAGTAACCTAGTGGTTGCCAGGGGCTGGAAGAGAGAGGGGACTGGGCAGTCAGTGTTTAAAGGGTTCAGAGTTTCACTTGGGTAGAATGGGTGACTCAACCATTCTAGAGATGGGTGATGGTGATGGTTGCAGACCAATGCGAACATACTTAATGCCACTGATCTACACACTAAAAATAGTTAAAATGGTAAACTATGTTATATATATTTTACTACAATAAAAAGTGGAAAAAATTAAGTCAGCAAGATAAAGGTATGAACTCAACATTAGCAAGTCTGAGAAATTTAAAATCTTGAAAACATTCCGACTATAAACACCACCTAGTGGTCACATTTAAAACACACTCGTGATCTCAGAGGCAGGCCAATCACTACTGCTTCTCCTCAATAACCCCACTCAAGTTTACAGAGTCAGCACCTTCTCCAAACATCTGTGATGCCGGCATCTCTGGCCTCCACATCTGGTCCCATCCGTATGCCCCAGTCCCAAAGCCCTGCGCCGACCTGGTCCACACAGGAGCCCTGTGCCAATCAGCTCTCAGCACGAAGGGAGTCGCCGAACCCTTAGTGATGATGGGTAAGTTCCTCAACCTCATGAATGAAGTCTTTAATCTTTGTAACCTTCTAACACTATCGTCTTAGAAAAGCATTTCCAAAAGAGAGTCTCATGTTCAAGTTTAAGTATGAAAGCATGTTTTCAAGGCCATGCAATAAACTTCTACTTATAGTAAACTTGGTTTACCCATGATTCTGTGATAACTTTCTGTACTTCAAACAATAGTGATTCTCTACCACAGAGACCTTTGGTCATAGTTACCCAAATATGTGGTAGAACTTGCTCTTATACAGAGACAATAAAAATTCATTCTTTAATAAGTGATCGTATGAAATCTACAAAAGATCACTGGGATTAAGATGGGTGTTTAAATTAAGTTTTCTAATCGCATCCACAAACATTATATAATTTTACTTGAGCTAAATATGAAAATGCTAAAGTATGTATCAAGTTACCAAACGGAAATGTTCCTTTAAATATCAACATTAGAGGTAAAAAAGCTTTTAACAGGTGGTTTTTATCAGAACACTTAGTAGTTAAGCAACACATTTTCAGCCAACATTAAGATCAACATTTTGGGGAAAAGTTACCTTCTTCAAGCTTTTTTTTCAGTTCTTCTATTTCTTTCTGAAATTGACGAAGCAAAGCATCCTTTGGATCTTCGTTAATTCTAGCTTTATTTTTAATATTCTTAGCACGATTAGCATACCGTAACGTGCTGATAGTTTCATCATAATTGTAATCTGCTGGCCCAATATTTGCACACTGTTGAATTAAGAGTGCACAGTTAGAATTAATACTACCATTATGAAGAAATCAAAGAGAATTTTTAAAGCATTCTTCTACTTTGGTATTCTTAAAAAAGAGTATAACCACGTGGTTTCCAAACAACATCACATGGGCTTGTACACATGGTGTACTAGAAAAAGAATAACCACAGGTCAAATAAAGTGAAATAATCAATAGTTTTTTAAATGTTATGCATATCAATTATGGGATAAACAGGAAATCTTAAATTTCCCTGATGATAACTACAATATCATCAATTAAGTCCTACCATCATGGTCTTTGAATTTCCTCCTAAGGAATCCTGAAGAAGACGAGTCAATTTAGAGTTACGATAAGGAACATGAGTGCTTTTTCCATCAACCAAGGCGGAAATCACATTCCCAAGGGTGGAAAGCGAAAGATTGATTTTTGTTGCTTCCTTGAGGCGCTGTCCAGTAGCTCCAGTTTTTGCTTGTCTTTCTGAGCCCTAGCAAGAAAGATAGACAGAAATAAAGCTAAAATTAAAAATATAGACTATTGTTTCCAAAGCTTAAAAATGAAGTAATTTAACAGTAAAAAAACCCTGATATAGTATCTGGAATTCACTTCAAAACAACACAGGAAGGGAAGTGGGGGACGGCAGAGGTGAAACAGGACTGGCACACGCCGGTAACTGTTGAAGTCAGGGAACAGTGACGCAGAAGATCGTCAAACTGTTCTATCTACTCTTGTACAGGTCAGAAACACTCTATGTGTAAACCACCCCATTACATTTGAGTTTTTATTCACTTGTAAAATAAAAAAAAATTACAAGAGTTGTCCTTTAGGCAGCACTCTGTTACTCACAGCAAGGTCTACCAGGTGGAGCTTCCCCATCCTGACGTGCATGTTTCCGTCGACGCCTTTCTCGCTGCACTCGATGGTGATCGTGAAGATGGCGTGGGAGCGGGAGCTGTGCTCATTCATGTTAGTTGCACCAACAGAACCTTGAATAAAGGAAGGAGGTTCTTAGGAAGTAACAGGAAGTGTCTTTTAAAATTATTAACTATACTATCTAGAATGGTTTAAAATACTTAATTTCATCAGAGCCAAACAGCAGAGAGAACAGCTAAACCATAAAAGCACAGGTGTGTTTAGCCATTATTAGAAGTTTCCGACAAAGTAGGTTGATAACTAAAGAATTTGTAATGTCTCTCCCGTTAAAGAGGTCATTTTAGGACAGAATACTTAATTTTAATCCCAAGTATTATTGGCTACAAAAGTAACTAATTTACATAAAAATACATGTTAAATAATTTAAAAAACGGTGACTGTTCCAGCTATCTGTAGGAAGCATTATGTTCTGGGCATCCAAACCACAGACAGACGTGCGTGCGCGCTAGCTGACGCCTGGGCACTCAGCGCAGCAGTGTTCCCAGCGGCCCGAGACCAGAAGCAGCCAACAGCAGAGGGGTCACTCAGTTATGGACCAGTCATGCTATGGACTTTTTAAAAAAGAAGGCTATCTGTATGACATGGGAAGATACCCATACCGTATGGCTGAAAAAATAAGAGGGAAATGTATAATATAATCCCACTTCCATAAAATAAAAGCATCCATTCAAAAGATGCTAAGTATTTGTGAGTGTATAAATATTTTACATGAATATATTGTGTAAAGGGTCTGATTTTTATAGTATGCATATATTGGTTTTTCCCTTAATTTCAAAGTAACTTAACAGCATTATGTTCATTTTATCCAATGCCAAAATTATCTTCCTACAATATTGTCATGCAGAACTTGTCCATGCAAGCTTTGATTTCAGAACTTAAACATTAAACTACAGTCACTGTTCACTGTTAGCATATGGCTGCACTAACGCTATGGAAGCATACGGAAGTCAGATAACCAGAATGTAAGCGGCACCAACAGAGGAGAGAGGCCTACATGAGTCCGGCTCCAGACAAGGACGAACACCGTATGATTTCGCTTGTGCATGGAATCCAAAGCGCGAAATAAACGAGCAAAGTAGAAACAGACCCGTGGTTGCAGAGAGCAGGCTGACGGTGGCCTGAGGGGAGGCACTGGGGGCCGGGTGGAGACGGTGAAGGACTGAGAAGTGTGAGCTGGTGGTTACAAAACCGTCTCCGGGTGTAGAGTACAGCACAGGGAACACAGGGCCTGGCAGAAGGCAGGCCTGCTGGAGGGTGCTTGGCAGGGTGATAATGTGGGTGTAACAACTTACAGTTTTAACTCAAACAGTTCACCTAAAATGTCATATGGTATGCTTGGGTGTGATATTGTTATGTCATGGAATTACATGTTTATGGTTTTGTAATAAAAAGGGGTGTTATTTGTGCTGGACCCTGAATAGCCAATAATGTTGCAACAACTATGCATGGTCCAGTGGGTAGTGGAAATATGGTGAGGGAGAACTATTTAAAGCGTATGACTCTCACCACTATGCTGTACACCTGAAACCAATAAAATCAAGATTAAAAGTAAACTGTAATTTTAAAAAAAGTAAAGAATTTGTGACTTCATACTATATTTTCTATTTTCTTTTCAATCAAATTGGGAATTTATAATTTCCCCCAAAATATAAAAAATTATTAGGCCTTGACTTTGTCATTCCCTTCCTGAGAGAGATTTGGGATGGGCTCCCATTCCAGGTCCCCAAAAGGAACACTGAGACGAGTGCTCTGAGCAGACACCTTTCCTTCTCTCGAGGATTATTTCCATGAATGTAGTTTGCAAACTGGAATTACTAGGTCAAAGGGCAGAAACTTTTATAGTGATGGGATACCAAATCATGCTGAAGCAATGTTTTCCAATTTGGGTGGGGAAAAAACATGTGATTTGAAACAATCATAATCAATACCTATTGTTTTGACAATGTAAGTAAAGCATGCTACTTTTTCTGTATTTCTGGTTGTGAAAACCAAGAAGTGCAGCAGACACGCTGCGCAATGGGCCCTGCAGAGAATTTCACAGCCACTGGGGAGCAGAGCTGGCAGGAATCAAGTGGACTCGGGGCTCCAAGCCACTGCCACGTCATGTAATGGGAGTCAGACAAAAAGCACTTCCAGAGCTCTAATTTTTGTCAAATGTTTACTTTGGAATAAAAATATTAAATCTATATGTTTTTCAAGAGGGCAGGAAAAAGTTTATAAACATGGCTGCATGTGTATAAACAGGCATATATGTACAATAAGAATATTTATTGCGGTATTGCTCATAACAGCAAGTCTGAAAACAAGCCACAAGTGCGTCAATAAAAGACTGGGTAAATAAATTGTGTATACAGGTCCACCCAAAGCAATACTGCATCGTTCTTTTAAAGCACTCACATATACACTGGCATGTGTCATTGTGAAGTGCTCTCTGAGGTGATACACTGTCAGGGGAACAAAGCATGCCACTCTCGGACCAATGAAGAGGACAAGCTCGCTCTCCAGACACACACCTTCCCGCGTCGGGAAGGGCAGGCACATTGGCCACTGACAGACGGGCCGCGGTGATGGGAGCTGGGTGACTGAGGCACAGGGCAGGAGAGAGACTTGCTTTTCAGTGCATGCTTTTGTGCCTTTTGAGTTTTATACCATGTCTATGGATTTCCTATTCAAAAAATAATTTTTAAAGAAAAAAACTTGGTTCAAAGGCTGAAAACACTGTTCTACAAAAATATTAACTAATTTACAAGGATGCCCACGAAGTAAATGAACTGGAGTAGTTTAAATTTGCATTTGAGTTGCTAGGCAGACTGTTTGTGAGATGGCTGACTGTATTTTCTCAAGTGTAAAATTAACTGTTTATATACCATGACACCTGTATAAAATGGGCACCAATTTTATTTGTATAAAGTTCTCACTTAGAATGGCAGCTTTTCTTGTCCCATTCCCTGCTCTGCTATTTGCCTCTTGATAGTTATTCTACTATATTTCTATATGATAAAGTTTATTTTTATGTTGGAACTTTTATACTGGATATCTGTACTAAATGTTTAATTCTTGGACTCCATTTATTAACTAAGAGTATTTTCCTCTCTGCACTCTTAGCTTTTTCCAATCGTTTTGTCTTTGTGGCATTTACAGCATTCTCTCATTACAATGCTTTAGCTCTCCTTGAACAAATCTCACATACGAGTTAAATTAATTGTCAGGTAATTAATGGGACGTTTTGGTCACCACTGTAAATGGGATCTTATGCTTAAAAATGTGTAAATTAAATAAACAGTACACGGACATATTCCTGGTATAAAAAATTTTTAAATACATTAAAAACAAAAACAATGAAAGCCCCCAACACCGCTCTCCCTAGCTGACCTCCCCTCCCTGAAGGTCGCCGCTGACCGCCCTCTGACCGTGTGTTCCTCGTGCGACCTGAGGACACACACGCCCAGGGCCCAAGTGCTGGCGTTACCACCTGGCTCTCTCACCCACGTTAACGGGACGATGCAGTAACACTGTTCTGTAATTTTCTTTCTTTTCACTTAATTTATCTTGAGCTTCATTATAGTCCAGAGTATTTTTGTACCGTTATTTAGATAACCAATGTTTTGTCTATAACTTTTTATTACAAATAATGTTTCAAAAAAGCAATTTTTACACCTAAAACAGTTCTCTAGAATACATGTCTAGGGTTAGAAACACTGGGTCAAAGGGAATGCACTGGCAAAATCCCAGCAGGCACTGGCCAACCGCCCTTCAGCACAGCTGTGCTGCGGGACAACCCTGCCACCCGTGTCCGCTTCTTCAGGGCCTCACCCCGGCACCCCGGCACCCCAGCACCCACGCCCACAGGCAGTGGCTCCCACTGTCATTCCGGGTGCATTTTCCCGACTGTTTGAGAAGCTGAACAGCCTTTCGTCTGCTTGCTGCTGTGGATCGCTCTGGGAATTACATATTCATACATTTCTTTTGCTCATTTTCCTGTTTAAATTTCATCTTTTTTTTTTTAAGAATGCAATTGATTTTTTACATTTTTTGTTTAATTTCCTTGAGCTTACTTGATTTATAGGGTGGTTGCAAAAACTGAAAAAATGTTTGCTTCCTATGTGTTTACCTCTCACCTCAAGTCTCTCATTGCTGTCAGCAACATCACTAGTACCAGGCCTGGGGCATCTGTGTATTGAATATTGAAGTTCTTTATTATTTAGGCAGAAACGGAAACAATTCCCAAAAATGCCACTTTATTTAATTTTGTTTTGCTTTTCTTGTCAATAAAAGGGAGGAAGTACAGTGCCTGATTATGCAGATTTGTGGTCTAGGCTAACCCTCTGCCACTTATTAAGTAGCATATAATTTTGGACAAGGTATTTAAATTAGCCTTGGTTTCCTCCATCATAAAATAGGAATTTAATACTGTCATAGTCTAGTCTGACAATTAAAAGAGATCATTCTTATGAAGTACTCAGCACAAGCACCTGCCACACAGTAAGTGCTCAATAACTTTACCAAATATTATTACGGCTGATAAGAAACAGCTACATAAGAGTTCCAAAGATATAGCGCTATCACTAAGAAGCATAATTTTGGTCATCACAGAAAGTCAGCTGTGATATCTTTCATTTATACGTCATTACCACCTAGGAAATAATCAAAGAACTGGGTATTCAAGAAACTTAAAAATCCAGCCCTAACCAGTGCGATTCAGCTGGCTGGGTGTCGTCCTGCAAAGTACAAGTCGCTGGTTCAATTCTTGGCCACAGTATGTACCTTGGTTGCAGCCTGGACCCCAGTTGGGGCACATGTGAGAGGCAACCAATGCATGTTACTTTTCCTCTCTTTCTCCCTCCCCCCCTTAAATAAATATATAAAATCTTTTAAGAAAAGAAATTAAGAAATGTAAACATCCAGTCTTTGTGGGACAAAGTGCCACAGCAGCCCTCCTCCTGAACCAGCCCTCTCGACACACGAGCACCAGCCCTGGCGCGCGCCGCACTTACGGTTCTTGTGGCCCAGCGTCATGATCCTGTCCATGTCGTCGGCGTTGTTCACCACGTACGCCGACAGGTCTTTGATGTACACGCCCACGTCGGGCCGCTCTTTAACCTAAAGAAAGTATGAGACTTTACACAGATATCCATAATTCTCCCACAGCTACTCACTGAACATCTGCTATACAGAAGTAATACTTAACAAGTGTGTTATTTCTTGAACACAGTTATTTACTGATCATCTACTATGAGAGACTGCTAGATCCTGAGTAGACAGTGGTGAACAAGGCAGACAGTCTCTCCACATGTGGAAGTGAAACCCTACAGGGAGAGCATACAAATGAATAATTACACATGAAAGTTATTTTATTTCAATTGCGATAATGCCATGAATGAGAAAAATATAAGACATAATCAGAAAACATTACAGAGAGACTTTAAGCTAGTGAGGCAAGGACAGGATAAGTTTCCCCAAGATGATGTTTAAGCTAAGACTCAAAGGAATAGAAGGTAGCCAATCTGGGTTGGGGTAGGAAGGAAAGAATAAATATAAGGATCTTGAAATAAGAAAAAACTAGGCATTTAGCCCTGGCTGGTGTGGCTCAGAGGATGGAGTGCCAGCCTGCCAACCAAAGAGTTGCCGGTTCAATTCCCAGTCAGGGCACATGCCTGGGTTGCAGGCCAGGTCCCCAGTAGGGAGTGTACAAGAGGCACCACACATTGATGCTTCTCCCCCTTTCTTTCTCCTCCCTTCCCCACTCTCTAAAAATAAAATAAATAAAATCTGAAAGAAGAAAAAAGCTAGGCACTTAGGAAAAATAAGAAAAAATAAAGCCACGGTGGCTGGAAAGAGTAGAAAGCAGTGTGGGGATGGGGAGAGCAGGGGTTTGGGGAGTAGGATATCTGGTTAGAGAGGTAGGCAGAGATAGAACTCAGCCACTATTGGTCTTCACAATAATCTGAAGCTGCTAGACAATTTCAAACAACTGAGTGAAACACTAAGATCTATGGCATCCATGTAAAAATATTCTTTCTGTGAGCAATCTTGTGAGAAATTTTACCAAATTTGAAGGATATATTTAGGAAAGATTTATATAAAGTACGTATAGATAGTGTCAGAAATACAAAATTCACTTTGGAAGGCCCAGAAGTCACCTCCACAAGTCAACACAAAAAAGTGAAACTGAGGCAGAGGCCCGTGGCCGCCAGTGGGGAGAGCCACTCGCAGGCAGACAGACCTCACAACGGCGACTAACAGAAGTTTAGAAAACACAGAAGTCATAAGGGCGCACACTCCGAATCCCAGGGGTAGGTTTTCGATCCAGTTGGGGCTTGGGTTGGGTTTTTTTGTCTCTTTTGTAACAATTTTTAAGATATATTTATACCTTAGAAAAAGTTACCCTTTTTCTGCAAAGGGATATAAAGGAAACCCTAACTTCATGAGCAGTGAGAGTGTGTTCATTTGTGGAAGCCAGTGGGTTCCAAACTACGCTCTGAGACGCCCTAGAGCAGCGACTGCCAGCCACTGTGCTGCCAGAATTGTCACACGAGCAACACCTGACCGCTCAGCCGGGGCCCTGCCCTCTTTTCCCTTAGACTGTCAAACAAAGAAATGACGAGAACCAACACAACCATAGCTGTCTTGTGTTAATGAGTCAAAATTATGCCTATTTTTGGTCAGATCGGCAAAAAAATATATTTTTAGTGTGCTGCCGAATTTAAGTAATAACTTATGAGTGCCATGAGGTGAAAAGGGTTGACAATCGCTGTCCTGGGGGCCAGTGGTGGCACTGAGGGCCCACTGCAGAGTCTAGGGGCTGTCGGGCTCACACGAGCTTTAGAACTAAGCTCTGCTTTCATGTTCTTCACACGGTGTGCATCCCCATGAGGCTTGGTCCGATGAAAGTGTTTAAATGCTTCAAACCTTTTTAAAGGTTTGAAAATAACTGATCTATTTCAATGCTTCTCAGAAAATGCATGGTAAAGAATAATTTTTGTGTGGCAAACTATTTCTGAACAATACAAAAATCACGCACTTAGACACCAGAGCAACATCCGATTGCTATGAAAGCTCTGACACATCCCTCTCACTCTCTGTGCGCACCATACTGCAGACTGGAAACAAACACTATGCAAACCAACATCATCTGCAGAGTCGAAGGTGGTTTTCAAGCACAATATGATCTTAATTCAAAATTCAATTCAGTGTAGATAAAATAATTAGATATGAAAGATGAAGAAATCAAATGTGATTCCAAATTTATAAAAGTTAAAAAAATGGGTGTTAATGTTAATCAGAGAATTTTTCTCATGAAAACACAGAAATTAAATTGCTATAACAATGTCATTTAAACACTAAAAGAATGAATCTCAATGGGGGCAGTTACTGCCCCGCTCTGAATGTTACAGAAATGTGCAGGGGAGTCTGTGGTTCACTTGAGAACACTGTTAGTACTCAGACAGGGACTGGGGACACTCAGCCTCCTGCAGTGGGTAGGATGGTCTCAGTCAACGAAGAACAGTCCCACGAAATTTCAAATGCACGACCAGTAAATGTCCTACAGGTGAATAAACTGTATTTACCAGGGTCTAGACCAGGGGTGTCAAACTCACTTTCACTGGGGGCCAAATCAGCCTTGCGGTTGTATTCAAAGGGCCAAATGTAATTTTAAGACTGTATAAATGTAACTACTCCTTAGCAGTTAGCGAGATCTCAGCACTGCCGCCCGGTAGAAACAAGGTGCCAGGCTGGATACAGCAAGGTGGAGGGCCGGATTTGGCACAGGCCTTGTGTTTCCCGCCTGTGGTCTAGACCCTAAATCTATTTTACATATAAAGACAAGTGCTTTTCCATGGTAATACCAATAATAATACTAATATAGGAATGCAGGAATACTGAGAAAAGAATTAACTTTACAGTATTTTGCTCAGAACTCTACCAAGAGTTAGTCACTGTTTTAAAAGACCATGTCAGCCCTGGCTGGTGTGGCTCAGTGGCAAAATGCCAGCCTGTGAACCAAAAGGTCACCGGTTCAATTCCCAGTTAGGGCGCATGCCTGTGTTGTGGGCAAGGTCCCCAGTGGGGGGTATATGAGAGGCAACCATACACTGATGTTTATCTCCCTCTTTTTCTCTCTCCCTTCCCCTCTCTAAAAAATCAAATAAATTAAAAAAAAGCCCATGTCATTGACAGTAACACCAATCAAGGTGCCACCAGCTCAGCAGACCTGCACAGTCTGCACTTGCAGCTGCTGCAGTTGTGACAGTCACACACGCCTCTGACTCCTTCATTATGTTGGAGTATGGTCGCTTCTACGCATTTTATATGTTGAAGTACTAACATTTTATTTAAGCCCTTCTTTTATTCTCTTTGACATTACAATTGGGTGGTATGTTATTTTAAAAATTATGTGCATAGGTATATTTTATCATCTATGAATTTTATTTCAGGATTGTCAAAGAAGCATTATAAAATATTGTTATAAAAAGGGGGCATTGGCCCTGGCTGGTGTGGCTCAGCTGGTTAGGTACTAACCCACAAAGGAAAGGGCTGCTGGTTCGATTCCCAGTCAGAGCACATGCCTGGGTTGCAGGTTCAGACCCCAGTCGGGGCATGAGAGGCAATCAATCGATTTCTCTCCCTTTCTTTCTCCCTCCCTTCCCCACTTCTGAAAATAAATAAATGTTTACAAATGGGGGAGGAGGCACTGGGTCTAATACAGTTTAAAACCATTGATAAGACTGTTGCCGAGAATAAATCTGATCTATAATTACTGGTACAAAAATGGAAATGTTCTTTCCAAATGACTTTCATTCTAATAATTTGTGCAATAAAACAATAAACTTTTTAAAGGTCAAAGCACAAAATTAACAAAGTATCCATCAAAACTAAAGATGACAACTAGCAAAAAAATCTCCACACTTGCTATGTACACATTATCATTACAGAATAAGCTGGTATTAAGGTCCAACAAACACAAATAATCCTTAAGCCTGTAATATATTGATATATTGTTGCAAAAGCTCAGTTTACACAGTAAACTTTTTTTAAAAGCTGACATTTACTGAATATTATGTGTCTACCATCAATTTAAATACTTTGTGTTAACTTATAAATGTTGCCAATAATCCTATGAGGTAGATACTATTGTTATTTCTACTTTCATGTGGCAAAACTAGGCTAACAGAGGTAAAGGAACTTGCTCAAGAGATCAAAGCCAGAATTCGGACAGAGATGATAGGACCTCAGAAGACACCCTCTTAATGCTAGATGATGCCTGCTACGTGCATGGCCCCGGGCAAGTCAGGAGACTCCTCTAGGCTTCCGTTCTCACATCGCAACACTGACAGCTGGGAAGACTCAGTGAAATAAAGTGCGCACTGCTTCTGCTATGCTGTGCTGCGTGCCTGCTGCCACACCATTAGCATGCAGTATTGGCAGCGGCAGCTGCCGGCGCTCTCCGGTGCTTCACCCCGCTCCACCACGGTGGCTGCTGTCAGTCTCCATACACTGCCCTCCAATGGTCTACTCACAGTGCAATTCCAATCGAAATTCCAATGTTAACATTGTAAAGGCTCTTAGTCTGCTTACGTTTGTCTCATTTCCTAAACTATTAAATATTTTGCAATATTTGCATCGAGTTACACCTGACTCAGCAGTACTGCTTCAAAACTATGCCCTCAGATATGCCTGGACCTGTGTAATACTCACTACAGAACTGCTTGTGAGACAAAAGGACAGACACACCCGAGTGTCCACCGACAGAGGGCTGGCTAAACACACTTTAGTTATGCCCATACAAAGGATATGATGCAGCTTTAAAAAAGGACAAGAGAGAAAAAAAACACAAGGAAGCTTTCTCTGTAATGACACTGAAAGACTGCCACCATCCACTGTTCAGTGAAAGAAGCAAACTGCAATGGGGGAAAGTCATCTTTTCAACAGGCGGTGCTGAGACAACTGGACATCTACAGGCAGAAGAATAAAGTTGGTACACTACCTCACCACATTTGCAACAATTAACTCAAAATGGGTCAACAACGTAAATGTAAGAGCTAAAACTACAGAACTCTTAGAATAAAGCAGAGGCATAAACCTTCAAGATCTTAGGTGAAGCAATGGTTTCTGAGATATAACACCAAAAGCACGAGCTACAAAACAAAACTAAATAGCTAAATCAGAAATGATCAAAATTCCAAACTTATGTCCTGGTTGGTGTCGTTCAGTAGATTGAGTGCTGGCCTAAGAACCAAAGGGTCACTGGTTTGATGCCCAGTCAAGGAACATGTCTGAGTTGCAGGCCAGGTCCCCAGTGGGGGGTGCACGAGAGGCAACCACACATTGATGTTTCTCTCCCTCTCGTTCTTCCTTCCTGACTCTCTAAAAATAAGTAAATAAAACCTTTTTTTAAATTTCAAACTTTTGTACTAGAACAGACACCGAGAAAGTAAAAAGAAAACCCATAAATGGGAGAAAATGTTTGCAAATCATATATCAGATAAGGGACTTGAGCCACACTATATAAAGAACTATTACAACTCAATAACACAAAAACAAATAACCCAATGAAAAATGGCAAAGAGTCTGAACAGACATTTCTCCAAAGAAGGTATACAAATGACCAATAAGAACGTGAGAAGATGCCCAACATCACTAGCCATCGGGGAAATGGAAGCAAGGCCCACAGCGAGATACCGCTTTGCACCAACTACAATGGCAGTCATAAAAGACGGAAAATAAAAAGTGCCAACAAGGATATGGAGAAATCGGGAACCTCACACGCTGCCGTTGGGAATGTAAATGGTACAGCCACTGTGCAAAACAGTCTCCAGTTCTTCACATGGTTGAAAATAGTGTTACCGCACAATCAGCAATTTCACTGATAGGTATATAACCACAAGAACTGAACACATGTTTGCACAAAACCTCGAACAAGAATAGTCACAGCAGCCTTATTTGAAATAGACATAAAGCAGAAACAACCCAAATGTTCCAATGACGAAGACATCGGTGAAATGTGGTGAATCCATAAAATGGATTCTCATTCAGCAACAAAGAGAAGGGAAGCACTGACACCTGCCACGGCAGCGGTGAACCTCGGAAGACCACGCTGCGTGAAAGCAGCAAGCCACAAAGGACCGAGTACTGTGTTATTCCTGCATGTGACACATCCAGAACCAGCAAGTCGACGGAGGCAGACAGTAGGGCTGGGGACATCTACTAGGGCTGGGGACCATGGGGGCGGGGTGACAGTGAAGGGTTGTGAGGTTTCTTCTTGGACTAATGACAATGTTCTACAAGTAGGTAGCAGTGATAGCTGTATAACTTTGTGAAAATACTAAGAACCACTAAATTGTGCACTTGAAAAGGGTGAATATTTTGCTATGTGAATTATTTTTCAATTTAAAAAACAATGAAAGTGAATCAGCATTACTTGTCAGTTAATAGCATAATGTGCCAATTAACAAATTTTTAGATTATCTGGTATTAATGGATATAATTTCGCTTTCCCTTTTCTAAGGGAAAATAGCTTTTGGTGCCAATCCATTACCTGAAAGTGTACAAACTAGAATTTCTCAGTTAGAAAGTTTGATTTTTCCTTCAGGTAAAAGAAAGATTGAAAATACTAGTATTTGTGACTGCATTCATTAGTCTTACTACCTATATTTTTGCTGCTTTAAAAGTCTCTGACTTAAATTCTGGAGTACTCTTGGAAGTCATACCAGAGAATGAAAACTACATTTGCATAAAAATCTCAATGTTCACAGTGCTTTACTCACAATAGCCAAAACCTGTACACAGACCACAGAGCCCTTTCCCAGGGGAGCGGTTAAACAGACTCTGGTGCAGGTGCGCGCCGTAACTGCTACGGAGCAGGGGAAAGGGATGAACTTGACACACATTCAGCGAGTTGGACGGATCTCCGGGGAGTTCCACCAAATGAAAAAAGCCAGTCCCAAAAGGTTATACATTGTATATCTTTATATAACATTCCTGAAATGACAAAATTTTAGAACTGGAAAGCAGATTCGGCCTTGTCAGGGGCTAGGAGTGGGGACAGAAGGAGAGGCAGGTGTGGTTACAAAAGGGCAACAGAAGGCATCTTAGTGACAGAACCGTGTCGGCGGCACCTTGATGTGGCAGTGGACACACCAACCCACAGGTGATAAAACAGGCAGAACACAGAGCAGCACAGGAAGAACCGAGGGCGCAGGGTCAGACCTGCAGACGCATCAATGTCCACGTCACGGCTGTGACGCCGCACAGCATTGTACAACACAAAACGTTACCACTGGGAAAACTGTGTAAAGGGTCCATCTGTGTAAATGGTAATCTCTCCAGGTCACCTCCTGGGAATCCACATGCAGATGGATGGATACAGTACGCTACTTTTGGAGTGTAAGGAAAATTGTATTTGTATTTACACAGAAACACTGAAAGTACACTGAAAGTGACTGTCTTTAGGTGCAGAGAAATGGGGCAAATGCCGTAGGAACAAGACTTTGATGCGTGAATTTTACAATATTTTTCTTTTTGAACCATGTGATCATATTACCTGGCCAAAAAATAAGTGAAATATTAAAAGTGCCTTTTGTATCAAAAGGACCTTAACTTAGTAAACATTCTATCGCTTTGGAAAGTACTCCAATTTCAATTATCCTTACCTCTAACCTCTGTGTCTGATCCTTGCCCAAAAGGTCACGAACTTCTTCATTATATATTTCCAAATACGACACTCGAACCAAAAATCTAAAAATAAAACATCATTTTAAAAACATAAAACAGTGAAATTTTTATAAGAACAGTTTTAAAATGTGTTTATAAAATGTGCACCTATATGCCTTTCACGTGTTTGTACTTCTCAACATTAGAAAATAAAAGAATTCTTTTACCTTGTATCACCCTCTGCTTTGGCAATATGACCAAATATGTGAGCAAATGAATTTGGAATGATTCCTCTAAGTTCAGGAACAGCTCGAACACCTTCCATGGTAAAGGTTTTGCCTGTTCCAGTTTGTCCATAAGCAAAAATAGTCCCTGAAAACAAAGAGAATCAATTTCCTTTTAGAGTTCAATGCTACTGAAAAACAGCTCTTACAATTAGTTCCTTTGATACTGTGGTGCAATGCCTTCCCCAAATCCTAGCACACATTTCACCTTTATTTCCGACAACTACACCATGTACTCTGTGCCACATGAGCAACGAACACACTACAAAGTACTGGAGTCAAGGAGATATTCCTAGTCATTAATGAAAAGAACCCCAAACCCTAAATGTAAAATCTTACACTGTAGATCACTATAAAACATTTCTTGTAATGTATATGTTAATTACTTAATGTGAACATTAAACGGGAGAAAGCAGTATAATTACAGCAACAGAACACAGGCTCCAGAGCAGAAAGACCTCAGTGTAAACCCACAGAGCTGCCACTTTCTATCCACTTGACCTTGGACACGTTTCTACCCAGAGACAGTCTCCTCAAAGGCAAAATGGGGATAACAATGTAACTACCCTACATTAGTAGTAAGAACTAAATGAGACACTTTATCTCTTGAAGTAAAGTGTTTCAACATGATGCCTGGTAGAGTCCCAGTAAATGGTAGTTATTTTCCTCATAATCCTAAAGTAACGGCATCCCAGGACAAAGCTTATGAATATTTATGGGAATAAGAAAATACCCAAGACCCAAGGGAAAATTCACACCGTCTGGCATTCAATCAAAAACTGCTGAGCTTGCAAAAAAACACAAAATGGTATGATTCTCATAATGAAGAAACCAATCAATCAATCCCAACTTGAAACTTACACAAATGTTAGAATTAACACACAAGGACATTAAAACAGTTATAAAAAATTACATTCTATACGACAAACAGTTCAGTGGAAACTGTGGATGGAAGTTTGGAAGAATCTACATGGAAGATATAACAAAGACCCAAATCAAACATCTAGAGATGAAAACTACAATGTGTGGGATGAAAAATACAACTGACTGGGTAAGTGGTAGATCAGACATTGCAAAACAGACCACAAAGAAAGCATACAGACCAAAATAATAAAAAATGAAAGACAGAAGAAAATTTTTAAATCATTGAGCTGTGGGACAATTTCATGTCACCTAATATGTACATCAATGTAGTTCCACAAAAAGTGGACAGAGCGGGCAGAAAAAATGTTTGAAGAAATAATACCTGAAATTTCTCCAACAATGATGAAAACCACAAATGCACAAATGAAAGAAGCTTAATGAACCATAAGTAAAGAAACATGAAGAAAAGCACACCACGGCACATCATCATCATGTCCCCCACTTTAAGAAATGTTAAAGGAAGTTTTGCAGTGCAGAAGGAAAAATGACCTAGATGGAAATAGGAATCTACATAAAAGAACAAAGAGTATCAGAAATGGTAACTAAAAGGTACATAAGTATGTAAGATATTTTATTATTTAAATCTCTAAAAGATAACTTAAAAATAGTAACAATGTGGTATGATGTTCACAACATGCAGAAGTAAAACCTACGACAACAGTAGCACAAAGCCTGGGAAGAGAGAGAAGGAAGTAGAGTGTAAAATTTTTATATTACATATAAAGTTGTGTGTTACTTGAAGGTAAACCATGTTATCATAAGGATGGTACTATAAACCTTAAAGCATCCGCTAAAATAACACAAAGATATATTGCTATAAGCCAACAGAAAACATAGAATGGAATAATAAAAATACTCAATTAATCCAAAATAAGGCATGAAAAGAAGAAAAGGAGCACAAAGAACAAATGGGACAAACAAAAATGAGCAAGATGACAGATTTACACCTAACCGTACACTCACATTAAATGTACCTATTAAAGAAAATGAACCTATAGTTAAACACCTTCCAAAAAAAAAAAAAAGCTCCAGGCCCAGTTGGCTTCACTGGTGAATTTTTAGGAAAGATATAATACTAATTCTAGGCATATTTTTCCAGATAGTTAAAAAGGAGGGAATATTTCCCAACTCTTCTATGAAACCAGCACTGTCCTGATAACAAAACCATATAAAGATGTTACAAGAAAACTATATACTTATGTCCCTCATGGACAGAGATACAAAAAATTTAAACAAAATTTTAGAAATCAAAGCTAACAACATACAGAAAAGATAATACACCATGACCAAGTGGCATGGCTGGTTTCACACTTAAAAATCAATCGATGCAACTGACCATATTAACAAACTTAGAAAACCAAAAAAAGAAAGATCATTTCAATAAGTGCAGAAAAAATTGCTTTTGACAAAAATATATTCCTGAAAAACACTCTCAGCAAATGAAGCGCAGAGGGAAACATCCTCAGTCTGAGAAAGGGTGTCTAGGACAGACCTACGATCACACCACACTGACTGGAAAACAGTGAATGCTTTCTCCCTAAGATCAGGAACAAGACAAAAATGTCCACTTTCACCACTTCTATGCAACATTGTACTGGAGGTTCTAGTGAATGCAATTCAGGTAACAAAAAGAAATTATGAAACTACAATGCGATTCAGGTAAAAAAAAGAATAGGAAAGAAAGAAATCAGTTGAACTATATTTGCAGACATCATGCTCTTGTCTGAGAATATCCTAGGAAATTTACCAAAAAATAAATAAATAAATAAATAAAAACACAATGGAAATAATAAGCAAGTCTAGAAAGGTTGCAGGATACAAGTTTTTTATGTTAATCAAAAATCAACTGCAAAATACAATGAGATACCACATCACACCCATTAAGATGGCTATAATCAAAAAGACCAATAATAACAAGTTTTGGTAAAGACGTGGAGAAACTGGAAACCTCATACACTGCTAGTGAGAATATAAAAACAGTGCAGCCACTGAGGAATTGTGCAACTGTTCACCCTGTGGCCAGCAATTCCACTCCCAGGTGTGCACCTGAAAGGACTGAAAACATATGTTCACACACAAGTCTGTACAAGAATGGTCGTAGTAACATTATTTATAATAGCCAGAAAATGGAAAAATTGGTCATCAACTGATGAATGAATAAACAAATTCTACTATAACCATACAATGAAATATTATTTTGCCCTAAAAAAGAATGAAGTACTGACACATGCTACAAGGATGAACACTGGAAACATTATGCTAAGTAGCCAGACAGAAAGACTGCATAGTATTTGATCCTATTTACACGAAGTGTCCAAAACAGGCGAACTCACACACACGGAGAGTAAGCAAGAGGCGGCGAGAGTGGAAGGGAGAAGTGGGTGTAACTACTAACACAGGTACAAAGATTCCTTTGGGGGTGGGTTATGGAAACATTCTGGAAACAGATAATGGTGATTTTCGCACAATACGAATGTACTAAAAACCCAACTTATACACTGCAAAATCGGCAAAATAGTGAATTTCATGTTATTTAAATTGTATCTCAATTTTTAAATATACTAAAAGAATCAATTGCATGTCTGTATGTTCACAATACACAGCTCCAAAAATGAAATTATAAAAACAATTCTATTCACAAAAGCATAAAAAATACTTAAAAATAAATTCACGAAAAGTAAAAGATCGATACACTAAAACTATAAAAATACTGAGACAAATTCAGCAAGGCATCACAAATGGGTAAGTATATCGTGTTTCTGGACTGAAAGATTCAACATTGTCAGAATAATGATTCCACAAAATCCCAGGTTTTTTGGTGGAAATGGATCCAGTGATCCTGAAATTTATATGAAAATGCAAAGGACCCCAGAAAAGCCCAAATAACTCTGAAAAAGAATAACAAAGTTGGAGACCACATACTGCCTAATTTCAAAACACATTGTAAAGCCACAGGAAAGACATGGAAGACAATAGACAACCCAGAAATAAGCCCACACACCTGCGGTCACTGATTTTTAACAAAGGCACCCAGTTAATTCCTAAGGAAAGGACAGTCTTCTCAACAAATGGTGCTGGAACAACTGGATATCCACAGGCAAGAAGGGAAAAGATAAGGAAGGAAAGAACTTAGACTCTTACCTCATACCACATATAAAAATGAACTCAAAATGAAGTACGGGCCTTAATGTAAAGCCTAAAATGTTTACAACTTCTAGACAGAAAAGAGGAGAATCTCACACACGGGGAAGGCTGGTCCAAGGCCCTTTCTCTGGCCCACAACACCCGCAAGAGCTGCTCGGCCTGGTGACCTCTCCGACCTCGGCTAGCACATGTGGATCCATTCCCCTGGCGCTAACTCCTCCGGCCTCTTCCCGTTCCTAGAGCACGCCAGACACATCTGCGCCTGTCGTTGCTTCCTCTGCTTGGACTGTGCCCCTCTCCGCTGTCCGCATGGGTGGGTAGCCCCCGCTTTCCTCAGAGCTCTGCCCTTACGGCTCTTTCTTAGAGAGAACGTCCTTGGCCACCCAGACTGAAATTTTGAACTCTTCCCAAAACTTCCTATCCTCTGTCCCTCTTTATCTTTCCCTTTTGCACTTATTAGTTACCATACAATAAAATTTACTTATCGTATTATCTGCCCCATTAGAATCTAAGCTTCTTGATGACAGGGCTTTAGTGCTGAGGCCCCAAGTACCATGAACAGTAAACAATGTTTCTTGAATAAATGGATGTTGTCAAACATTCACTGTAAGCTTGACATATTCAATAGGACTTCCATTCAAGCAGAAATTGTTTTATGTAGCCTATAACCCACTTGAAATTGAAGAGTTTGGGTATGTATTCCATAACACATCTTCAACTATAAAAGCAAATTGTAATTCTTTAGCAGGCCACAAAAGGAGTAACTTAGGGATAACTTTATTAACACATTCTCATTGCTACCTATCAAAAGTGATGAGATTTTGTACAACACAGGGAATCTAGTCAATAATATTATAATAACTATGTATGGTACCATGTGGGTACTGGAAATATTGGGGGGAACACTGTAAAGTATAGGATTACCCAAGCACCATGCTGTGTGCCTGAAACTAATACAAAATAACACTGAATGTAAACTGTAATCAAAAAGTAAAATTTAAACTTAAAAAAATAGGAGAAAATCTTTGTGGCTTTTGGTTTGACAAGTTTCTTAGCCATGTCACCAAAAGTATGATGATAAAAGGGAAAAATGGACAAACTGGACTCTATCAAAATTCAAAACTTTTTCTCTTCAAAAAACACCATTAAGAGAATGAAAGCAGAAACCACAGACTGAGAGAAAATACTTTCAAAATATTTGAATCTAGAATATACAAAGAGCAGGGCTCAGTAAGAAGACCAGCACTAAATTTAAAAACGGGCATAGTACTTTAAGAGCTACTGTACCAAAGAAGCTAGCTACATGAACGACTAACACGTGATAGTCGTACGCAGAGTTTTGATTGTGAGAGGTCGGCAGCCCTCATCCCTACAAGGTTCAAGGGTCAGCTGTACTCAACACTGTTAGTAACTGAGGGAGTACAAGCTAAAACAGTGAGGAGCCACTGCAGACCCTCTAGAGTGGCGACAATGAGAAGGACTGACCATCCAAATGCTGGTAAGAACGTGAGGAAACTGAGGGTTCTCACACAGTGCTGGTGCGGGGAAAGGTAGCAGAGTCACCACTGGGGAAAGTCTGGCAGTTCCTTCAAAAGCTCGGCACTAACTGTATGATCCAGCAGTCCTACTCCTAGGTATCTACCCAAGAGAAACCTTAAAAGCTATCTGTGCAAAGACTTAAAAAGAATGTTTACAGTAGCATTATTTATAATAGCCAAAAGATGGGAACATCCAGATTTCCAACAAATATCATAAACGGTGGTACACAGATACAACGGGGTCTGATTCAGCACTAAAGAGGAACAAACTGCTCTGATAGCCACCACAACACCGATGACCCTCAAAAACATCGTGCTGAGTGAAAGAAAATGTAAGAAAGATAAGATAGTGAATGATCTGACTGACATGAAATTTTGAGGAAAGTCGAAACCATAAACAGACAGCAGGTCAATGGTGGCCTTGGGGTGGGGCAGCAAATGGACGTGAGGAACTTTCGGGGTGATGAACTGAATTGTGGCAAGAGTTTCACAACTGTGTGTATTTACTACATCTCATCAAACTATAGTTACAAGGGGTGAGTTTACCTGGTACTAATAATACCTTGATAACGTTCTTTTTCAAAAAAGAACTACATAAAGCACTCACCATTGTAGCCTTCAAGAACAGAATCAATAATAGGTCTTGCAGTTAGATTATAGACATCAAGCTGTTTACTCTCTGGCCCAAAAACTGTATCAAAAGTGAACGTCTTGGGAGGCTCATTGGAAGAATCAGTCTTGTGCACAGTGATAGTTCCCCTCATCTCATCCACGCTGACGGCCTGCTTGTAGCACATGGATTTCTCTCTCTCATTGAGGGGCCGGCACCTCACCACCACCTTCACATTATCACAGCTTTCTGGCTTCTCTGATTTATTGATCTGGTGGAGAAAACATTTACAAATAATGAAAAAAAATCCCCTCCTTCCTCCGAGTTTCCTACTTGTAGGAAAACACATGTGAACATAGTTAACAACTGGGATCAAGAATATAGCCCTGACCGATGAGGCTCAGTGGGCTGGGTGTCGTCCCACAAATGAGGGTCTCCAGTTTGATTCCTGGTCACGGCACATGTCTGGGCTGCCAGCCAGGTTGAGGCTACAGATCGATGTGTCTCTCACATATAGATGTTTCTCTCCCTCTCTCCCTTCCTTCCCCTCTCTCTAAAAATAAACAAATAAGATCTTTTTGAAAAAAAATCCTTAAGATGCTCTGCAGAATCTGGCTCTGTTCCAAGTCTACTTCTCCTGTCTTCCCTCGTAAGTTACCCTGCTTGGCTTTCTTAGCCACAGCCACACCAACTTTCTTCTGGGCCCTCTCTTGTCACCATGATCCTTCTCCCCACAGGCCTTTTCGTGTGCTGTTCCTTCTGCCTGGAACATCCCTCACTCTCCTCATTTATCCTGCAGACTTCAGCGCAATAGCCACTCCATCTGGGCAGACCTCCCTGAGTAGGTCAACTCCTGGCACAGGCATACCTTGGAGATACTTAAGGTTCGGTTCCAGACCACAACAATAAATCAAGGAATATAAAAAAGTGAGTATGGCAACTGAGGGAGTCATGCCATTTTTGTTGATGAAAGGTCTTGCCTTCAATTTGTACAACAAAAATAGAAATATCTGTGAGGCAAAATAAGGCAAAGAACAAAACGAGGTCTGCCTGTGTAGGCCCGGAGAGCGCCTTTCTCACTCCTTCTACACCTGGTTGTAACTCCACTTTTGATTGCTCATTATTTCATTATGTGTCTGTCTTTCTCTCTGTCTACACCAGAGGTTGCAAACGGGTAATCAAGGGGCTGAATTCAGCCCACAAGTGTCTTTTGTTTGGCTCACAGTGTTTAAAATCTTCTGTATTAGTTATTAAAATTAAAAAATTTTACAAAATAACAATTTAAGATTTTCTTGGAAAAAAGGATGATCTGACAGCTGTAAGCCAGCATTCCTACATGGCAACACTTTACAATTCACCAGAATCCACTTCTACCTAATGTTTACCACCTACTGAATCCATTAATGTGGTGTCTTGTCTCTGTAAATATGTCTGGTTTTCACCGCTGCCCAAGAAGGCTAGCTTCTTTCTTCCCAAGTTTAAGAACCAGTCTGGTTTTGCTCAATATTGCTCAAAATAGAGAGTTTCTCAATCTCTGATGCCTAACATGTGGCTGGTGCCCAATATGTGTCCAATGAATTGACAAACAACTTGAAAGCAAGGACAAGGAACAAATACTGCGCATTTAATGTTAAATGTCAAGCACTGTCCTTCGATTCCCCTGAGCAGTATCTTATTTCATCCTGACAAAGCCCCAAGAGGAAAGGTTAAATTATATGGGAACTAAAGGCCCAGAAAGATTAAATAATTGTCCAAGGCCTCCTAACAAGCAAATAACCGGCCACGGCTCAGATGTTCTCCACGTCCCCTACACTGGACTACGGACGCCCCCTTACTAAACGCACGGTAACAACCTAGGAAGTCCTACAAGACAAATAGACCAGCACCCGCTCCCGACCTCCTCACACACAAAGACACCTACGGGTTGCATTCTTGCACTGTACGCTAAGGCGCCACAAGAGCAATGACAGCTCGAGTTGGGGCCTGGAGTGGGGGTAGGCAGCCCCCCCCTTTGATGCCTTCCGGTGGCTCCGCTGCGTGGAGATCCTACCGGGAGCGGAGCATCCCAGACCGATGCCCCACGGCCGCTCCCAGACGCCCAACCCACAGTGCTGCGAGCGAGAGCGCATCCTCTGGCACAGCGCCTTCATGTCAGGCAGCGCAGGCCCTGCAGGATGCAGCAGTGAGGAAGGCAGCAGGGAAGACAGCGGGGCTTTCCCTGGGTCCCTCCCAAGGCCAGCCGGACGCCGGGGCGCCACGGGCCCACTCCTCCGCCTCCCCAGCACACCCGCAGCATGGCCGGGGGCCCTGCCCCACCCCACCCGGGCCACCCTCCTGCTCCACGCCTCCATGGCAACGGCCGCGCCCCCGGGCCAGGCCGCGGAGATGAGGATGAACCGTGGTGCCTGAGCCACTCTCCTCACCGGCATCGTGGCTCCCTCCCGTGCCCGGTGGGCGTCTCCGCCCAGGGTGCAGTCCTACAACGCCGGATTCGCCAGAGAGGTTAGCCAAAGATTACCGAAACGCCGCCTTGGCGCTCTCGAGACTGCGGCTCCACTGAGCGACAGTACACTGCGCGCAGGCGCAGCCCAAGTTCGCCCCGCCCATTCCCCCCCACCCCCAACCTGAGACTTCCCCGGCCTCTTCAATTACGCCTGCGCGGAGTCCGTCTCCTAGGACGCCGGACTGCAGCTGCGCCTGCGCAATGCTGCTATTCCTCTGTGCTAGAAATCTGGCCGGTATTGAGGAGGGGATATCTGGGTGCCACCAATTGGGAAAAAGAAGGATTTCTATCGCAAGCCCCATCTTCTGGCGCTTGCAATACTCTAATATTTTTAAAAAGGAAAACTATAGCAATTGTGCATTGTGCCGCATCTGGAGAGCTAAAGACTTCACATGCATTACTGCGCTTGGTGGCCGACTTGTCTATGACCTCTCATCAAGGTGAAGTCGTGAGGGGCTTTTGTTGACATTCTCTCAAGGATCTCCGAAACCTAGAATGGGACCCAGAATAGGACCTGGAACAGGGTGGGTTTTCAGTAAACATTTGAGAAAGAACAAATGATCCATCTGCTGTCTTTCTTGTTTGAACCTCTTCCCTGGACGCCCTTCCGTTTGGATACATAATGGGCATTTCAAGTTTTCGTGTCCAAACCCGAAAGGTTGATTTCCATCCCTCCCTCGGTCCCCATCTCTAACCCCTACCAGCCACGAACGTCAAAAAACTTAGCTCATCACAACAAATGGACGTGAATTCTGGCAATTCCTTGGGTCAAAACCCGTCTCTTTCTCATGCACAATATCCAGTCTTTCGACAGAGCTCGTTGCCTCTATCTCCAGAGAAGAACCAGAATCTGACAACTTCTCACCACCACCACCATTTCTCACCTGTATCACCACAATGGCTCAGAAACCACTTTCTGTGCCTGCATCCTCACCCCCTCTTAATCTGCTTCATCACAGAAGCCAGAGTGATAATGTTAGAACATGAGCAAGAGTGTTTTTTCTCTGTTTGAACCCTGTCGATGATTTCCCATCTCACAGAGTAAAAGTTACAAACCCTCTCGCCGTGTGCTACAGTCTTACCCCTTGCTCCATATTCTACACCAGCCCCACCTGTCTCTTGGATCCATGACAATACAGGCAGGCTTCTACCTTCGAATGCAAATGCATTGCAGGAGGAGCTAATAAAAATAACTATAGAGCACTTTATTTAGTTCCAGTGTACTGTTCTAAGTGCTTTACTTTCCTTTTTAAAATTAAGACACATTATGACCTTTTAAAATAGGTACTATTGGTCACTTTAATAGAAAATAGGAATAACTATTTTACAGATTAAAAAACTGAGGCACGAGGCCATTAAGTCACTTGTCCAAGGTCATACATATGGACAGTGACAAAGCCCAGATCCAAACCCAGGCCCTGGATAGCTCTCCCCCTAGATGAGTGCCTAGAAGGAGGCCTGACCCCCTCAGCTCCTTCAGAGTGTCTTTGAGCACATATAATCTTCAAAGTGAGCCCTGCTATGATCTACTTAAAATTCCACTCTTCGACCCCAGTCTTATCTCCTCTTCCTACCTTTTTCTGTAGTACTTACACCATCTGATACACCATATATATGATATACATTTCATATATACATATGTCCACTTTACTGAGATATAATCACATAATACAATCCATCGATTTAAGTTATACAACTCCATGGTTTTTGCTACATATACGGAGTTGTGCAACCATAACCACAATTAATTTTAAACATTTTCATCACCCCAAAAAGAAACTCTATACTCATAGCGGCCATCCCCCTTGCTCTGCCCCCTTGCCAATATCCCAGCCCTAGGCAACCAACAATCTACTCTCTGTCTCTATCAATTTGCCTATTCCAGACACTTATTATAAATGGAAGTATATACTATGTGGCCTTTTGTGAATGACTTCTATCACTTAGAATAATGTGTTCAGGCTTCATTTCTATTGTAGCATATAGCAGTCATTAATATTTATAGCTGAACAATATTCCATTGTATGGATATACCATTGTGTGAATATACCACGATTTATCTCATTTAACTATTGAGGGGCATTTGGGTTATATCCAGTTTAGGGCTCTTACAAATAGTGTTGCTCTGGCCCTGGCTGGCATAGCTCAGTGGATTGAGTGTGGGCTTGTGGACCAAAGGGTCATCAGTTCAATTTCCTGTCTAGGGCACATACCTGGGTTGCAGGACAGGTCTCCAGAGAGAGGCAACCACCCATTGATGATTCCCTCTCTTTCTACTTCTGTTCCCCGTCTCTAAAAATTAATAAATAAAATCTTCAAAAAAATACTGTTGCTCTGAACATTAGCAGGTGCCTTTGGGTGCACACGTACGCATTTCTGTTGGGCATACACTTAGGAGTGGAACTGTGGGGTTTCCAAGTATTCTTCTCATGTTTTTTGTCTGTCTTTCCCGACTAAAATATAAGTTCATGTCTATTTTATGCACTGTTATGTCCCAGCGCCTAAGACATTGTAGGCCTTCAATAAATACTGCTGAATGGGGAAAAAAAGGTATGAATGAATGAACGATCTTATGAGGGAGATAATGACTTTTTTTTTTTTAAGAAAGAAGCGGTAATCGAGACCCTGGGAGGTCAAGTCGCAGGCACGAGGTCACCCGGGGAGTGGGGGACTCCTCCCAAGCCTGTCTGACTGAGGAAAGAGCCCGGGGTTGCGGCCCGTGCCCCTCTCCAGGGCCCGCACCATCACCAGCCTCCCCATCCCGGCTCCAGACTCCGAGCCTGGGACGCGGGCTTCCGGCGGGCAAGAGGCGCTGGGGGGGCGGGGGCGGGGGGGAGCAGGGCGAGAAGGGTCCCTCACTCACTCGCGAGTTCGGTCCGCTGTGTCCCACGTCTGCGCTCCTCCGCACAGCAGCAAGTGTCACGGAAGGGCCGGCCTGTGCCAAGGGCAGCTCCTGGCCAGGCTGGGGTGGTCCCACCTGCCAGCGCCGGAGTGGCCCAGAGCCGAAGTCCAAGAGTTAGGTTATAAAAAGCCCGGCCAAGCCGCATCCAAACCTGGGAGCTGGCGCCCGCCGTGGCCTCGGACGCCCGGTTCCCGCCGGAGCCCACCGCCCGGGAGGAGGAAGGTTGGTCCCTGGTCCTGGCGGACGCCTGAATGCAACAGCTATTAGCCTACTGCTCCCGCTGCTACCCCAGCTACCCCAGCGCCGCCTGGTGCCTTGTGACTCAGCGGGCATTCCGGACGAGCGCCGGCTGGTTGCCGGTCTGAAACTAGCCCTGGGTCTGAGGCGCGCCTATGGTGGGGCGGCCACCCCCAGGTACCGCCCCCGCAGCGGGGCCCTCCAGGGAGCACCTGCATCCCCAACTTCATGGGCGCAGGCAGGGACGCGCCGAGTGCCACCTGCACCCGCGCTCGAATGAACCGCACCCTGGAGGCTGGGACTTACCCCAGGTGTGTCCCCGAACGAGGCAGGACACAGGACCCCACTGGTGGGGAGGCGCTTTTGAGTAGGTGCTTGGGAAAAGGGCCTGGGTGGGTCTCGGGACTCTCCTTAGGCCGCAACACTGGCGCGGGAAGGGGGACGCATCACCGAGTTGCTGGGCGAGGGCGAGGCGCTGCATCCGCCGCGATCTAAGGTGGAGGGGCTGCTCCCCTTAAGCAGGTGGCTCCTGCCACTGGTGGACCGAGACTGGCCACCGACCACCTTCCCTGCCGTCCCTACGCCCCCTTTTCAACAGGTGGAGGTCGGGGACACTTTCCAGGAAGTCGTGTTGCAGCTCCTGCGGCTGGAGAAATCTTTCACTTCTCGCCTGGCTCTATGTTCTGCCAACTCCTGGTGCCAGTGAAGGTAGGGAGTCCTCTGAGGGAAGGTGCCGGTTGGGGGTGGGGGAGGAAACGGACCTCTGCTTCCCACTGCTGCTTCGGAGATGGGCCCTCTCCTGCGCTCAGCACTAACCTCTCCACCCCACCCCTGTGCCGTCAGGCAGTCTCGTGGGGTTGTCAGGAGTGGACTTGGGGAGCTTGAGAGGACCTCGTGGGGAAAGGCCTTCCTGTGTGATGAGTAGGGTGTGCTTGTCTGGGCGAGCCCGGCAGGGACCACGCCTCCCCTGAGCCAGTGTCACCTCCGCTCCAGGCAGCCCTCTGACAAAGAGAAGTCATCCGTGGTTCTGAGATCAGGGGCCCTCCCGCTGGTCAGATCTAAAACTGGCACTGACTGATTTGTGGAGGAATACAAACAGCCACTTAAAAAAAAAAAGGAAAAAAATTTCTTGAAGAAACAGAACACAAGTGTGTTATGGTTTGTTTCTGGCATGCATGTACTCAGTCGTTTGTCCCAGACTGCAGATAAAAGCGGGCTGACTCCGCATGGTCACGGTGGCTTCCTCGGGACTTGCCGTGGAGGTGAAGGAAGAAGGGGAGGTCTGCACCCCTGGGAGCCCACTCTGCGCTGCTTTGGGGGGCGTGAGGGTGGAATGCTGTGGAGCTCTTGAGCTCCCCATGTACCTGGGAATGGTGGGCATTTTGGGAAGTTATTAACTTCCCAAGATCTCTGCTGTCCGCTCCTCAGGCTTGTCGAACTCTGGGAGCCTGCCCATGGGGAAACGGAACAGCTGGATTCTCCCGGCCCAGCAAACCCAGAGGTCTGGCTCCTGGCTCATAGATCTCGCCTCATTGATCGATGCCAGATGTCACCTCCCAGTAAGCACAGGCATCCGCTGTGGAGCCAAGAAAAGGGCCTCCCAAACCACGTGGGCTGATGTCCACCCTGGAGATGACATCTAAGAAAGCTGCCTGAGACTCTAAAACTTGGCTGTGTCCCTGAAACAGGTCCTCGGGGACTTGGGGACCCTTATCGGAGAGGGGCAGGGGCTGGGGAGAAGCCTCCACAAGTGCTCCAGGCTTGCTTGAACTTTGACATCTCACTGTGGCTTCTGTTCAGGGGAAGACCCTCCACCAAGACCCTCCCCAGACCTCCCTCCCTCCCCTTTGGGGATAATGCAGCCACTGCCATTTCCCCAGGGTCTCCCTGAGCCGATTTCAGGACCTGAGGGCCAAAAAAGTCACTTGCATCCAGTTCCAAACCTTCAATAAATATGCTTTTAACTCATTTATTACAATATAGCTTGTGGTCCCCCAAAGTCACTTTCATCCAACTAAAAATCAAGTAAGGGACCTTTAAGAGACGTACTTCTGGGGATCGTAGTGACACTTTATCTAAAAAAATAGGGCCAAGTCTTGGTGCACTTGGTACTTGAGTGTTTACTCAGACAAACCTTGTTAGTCCCTCCAGGATCCAGTCCAAAACCGAACTGCCTAAGTCAGGGCTAAAGGGAGTGGGCTTTCAGCTATGGTGTTGCCCAGACTGACGCCGACTAGTGCGGACCAGGGAACTTGAAAGCTTCCTTCTTTTCCTCCCCCACAAGTAATCCTGGCAGGGCTCAGGGGATGGGAATGGGTGGAGGCTGCAGCTCCCAGAAGGCCCTGGGTGAGTTCCTGCAGCTAAATGGGGAAGATGGCAGAGCCCCTGCCTCTGGGTGTCGGGAGTGAGCTGGAGTGCGGCTGGGAATGCAAAGCTGTCTGTGGAGGGTGACCATGTGACATTGACTACACATTGTCCCATCTACCTGGGGACTTGACAGATAGCCTAGATCTGGTTTGGTGTTTCTTTCCAAAGTGTTTTCCATGGCAGGTCGCTGAAGACAACTCCACCAGGCTTGTGAAGGTCCAGCCCCCATGGATAAGAAAGCAAAGGCTACCATGACATGATACAGGGCTTCGGCCTCTTTATTTTCTTTTTACACTTCACTCCACACATCAAAGACTCTATAAAGCACTGCGGCTCTGGCTGTACCCCGAATGAGTTGCCGAGGATGGAGCTGGCTATTTGGGGCAGACTGCATTGGGGCCCTTACGTGGGGGCGCCGCTGGACTCCTGGACCATAGTAAATACAAGGGATTTGCAGTCTGCCCAAGATTCATCTGCGCCTTTGAAACAGCTCACTACAGAGGACGGCCAAGCACGAGTGTGCACACGCCCTTGCACATGCACCACAGTAAGGTCACCCACGAGGCTCATGACACACGGAACAGTGAAAATGTATCTTAAGTCCAACACAGTTCCACCAGACTCTCACCACTAAAGGACATTAGTTAACTTTACAAAGATTTTGAGATGGCATTATTAGGGTGCGTTTCTCTTAAATACACATTGCAAAAATATTTAACTTTCCATTCTATGAATACTGTACATAAAAAGCTGTCTGCTTTTGCTGCACTTTACACACATTCACTTAGCTGTCTTTCTTCACCTACACACAATCCTTATTGAGGCTGTAGACCATATCGATCTGGCACTTAAAAAATATCCTATTAGTCTGGATTGGTTTTCATTAGGGAGTGATGGTCAACCTTAAGGATACGATTCTGTTAGTAAGGCAAAATCATGTAATGTGGAAATGTCTCGGGTTTGGGGTCTGTTATGCAGCATGAAGATTGTGTCAGTAAGGGCTGTTTTGTGATGAAAACTGGCCACTGTGGCCAAGTTGCAGGGTTTTTTCCCTCAGGTCAAGCAGATACAAGTAACTTTTCTGCTGCCTTAATCTTGAAGAGGCTGCTTCCACTTTTCAGAATTGAAACATTGTTATCTCGCTCCTTCAGGCCACCTCAGGCCATGTTACAAAGCAGACTGCCTTTGCTCTCTCCAAGGTTGAAGCTCAGCTTGACCACAGAAGGGGCATGAAGCCTCAAGCTCCTTGTGGGGCTATGGGTGGCAAAGAAAGGGGTTGGGCCACATTTGATGTTCCCTGATGGAAATTTAAATTGTTTGCACTTTTGGTCATTGATATATGAAAAGTATGGGGTTTTCTGTCCTAACATGGAAAACCACAATGTCCAGTTCCACTCCCTGGTGGTCACGGGCTGGCCCCACGCGGTGGAGCTGCTGCCTCAGAGGAATCCTTCCCTCCACGTCGCGTCCCTGACCAAGCAGCTGCAGCACTGTATGGCAGGCCACCAACTGCTGCAGTTCAAGGGCTCCACACTGGCCTTGGTCATCATCACCTTAGAGTTGGAGAGGCTCATGCCCGACTGGTGTGCTCCTATATCTGATCTGCTAAAGAAAGCACAGGTAGATATCAACTTTGCCCCATACCAAGCTCTTGGTTTTGTTCCATGAGCTGCCACACTGTCCCCAAAAGGGTACCCATGGTCCTTCTTGGCCCTTGTGGACTCCAGAAGATGCTCTGGCCACGTCTCCGCAAGGAGTCTGCCTGAGGGCCAGGCTTCCCACACTTGGCATGCCCTCTGCACTTGAGTTTGGCATACGTGGTCCCTTCACCGGGCCAGCTGGGGCGCATTTCTCTGACAGTGGGGGAAGCTTTATCTCAGTGGCAGCCCTTGTAGCCAAGAGGATGGGCAGATGTGTCCGGTTCAGGAGGAAGCCACCCCAAGCAATATCGAGGAGGGTAAACTTCAGGCCTCTCACCTTCTACATGAGTCTAGGGGTGAGTGGGGCCAGAAGCCCTCAGGATGGACCAGGTAGGATGAAATGCATGGTTAGACTCATGGCAGTTTTACTGAGTTCAGAGACAGATGTCCCTGAGGTGGTAAGGTTAACATGCTTAAGTTAAGTTTCGTGGTCGGACCTTCCTGAAATGGCTCCATGCTAACACCCAGCTGCCCATGGCTTAGCACGCAGTATGCTCTGCGTCAGGGATGACCACTCCATTGTAATCACAGGCGAGCTGGGCAGCTGGCCCACCGCAGGACACAGGTAAAGCAGCAGCTGAGTAGCCTTTAGTCCTCCGGCACAGAGAACCTTCTCTTTCCCCCGCCAGCTGGCGCCCCTACCCAGAGCCCTTCAGAGTGTACGGTCAACCTCTCCTGTCTTGCCACCTGGAAATTCTAGACTTTATGGATCTTTTAACAAGAAAGGAAGAAGATCACAGGAGTGTCCAACCTTTTGGTGTCTCTGGGCCACACTGGAAGAAGAAGGGTTGTCTTGGACCACGCATTAAAAACATAAACACTAACAAAAACTGCTCAGCAAAAAAAGGTTTTGAGTAAATTTGTTTTGTGTTAGGCCGCATTCACAGCCATCCTGGGCCACAATCAGCCCACAGGCCATGGGCTGGCCATGGGGTGGCCACCCCTGCAAGAACAACTGAGAACAAATTTCTGGGTTCTTAGAAGAAAATGAGGGGGGAGAAGGGAGGTTGGGGTCACTAGAGGTGAGGGCAGGTCATGACCCTACTCCCTTCTCTCCCCCGGGCCTTCTCCCAGGGAGAAGCAATGAACACTAACATTGCAACTTGGTTTTGCTTCTCCAGCGAGAGCTGCTATCAGACCCCAGGACTGCTGGACTAGGAGGCCTAAGGAAGGCCTTGCTCCGGCCGAAGGGCCGGGCTGGTTCTGACTGAACAGTTCTTGCTGCTCTGCCCACCTGAGCTGGCCAGGTCCTTGCAGCTCCTCAGGCTCATACCAAGCAGCGCTCCACCGCAGCCGCCTGCCTGCCGCTGTGAAAACAGGGCAGTCTCCCCGGATGCGCTGACCTGATTTGGCCACGACTCAGGTCTTCTCCTCACGGGGACTGCGTTATAAAGTATGCTTTGTTTAATGTACGGCCAACTGTCCAAGCTTTAAGACACTTTTCCTTTGTTGCTCTTAAGCAAAGGAGTTGATTGGCTTAACTAGAGACATTTTTATGCTAAAGAGTGATATGACAAGGTGTGACCCCTATGATGGGGTAGGAGGTCGTGCAGCTGTGAGAGCTTTTTGTGGAGATGAGTAGGTTTGGGGGCTGAGCCCGCTCGCTCTGGCCACCGAGCCGCCAGGAGGGGGCAGGGCAGGGGGAGGTCACTAGTGTGGCCTTGAGGGGGACGCCAGCTGTCTCTCTAAGCTGTGACACTATCGAGCCATTCTTTAAGCAGAGGGGTCCAGCTGACTCCTTGGCTGAGTAGTGCTGGGACGTGAATGACCGAGACACACATCAGGGTGACTTGTGAAGTTTCTCCAACATGAACGGTTTTTGTAAGCGTGTGAGCCTCGGGGAGTGGGGCCACTGCTGGGTGCCAGCGGTCGAGGCCCGTGTGCACGTGACACTGCCTGCACTGCAGCCAGCGCCAGGCCTGACCTTCTCTTAAACAGATGTGTGTGCTGGACCTTTTGTGGAGAATAAACCTGAAGTCCTTGCTGCCCCATCTGAACCTCATTTCACATACGTTGGGCACCACGCACTTCGACTTGCTGGAGCCAGACACGGTCGGAATGCCAGCTCCCAGGCCCTGTCAATCAGCAGCTGTCCTCCCGTCCAGCACAGATGGAGATGCTGAGGGCAGCGTGTAGCCCATGGCCACCGCTCTCACTGGCGGCCACGATTGACTGCTGCCTCCTTCCTTCCCCTGTGAGTGGGCACCGTAGTGGGAGGGGTGGGGCTCATGCTGAGGGCCCACAGCAGCTCAGGCTGTCCCTGACTTTGGGGAACTGGTGGGAGGCACCTGGACCTCTTCCCTAGGTAGGTCTGGGTGTAAGCTGAGTCCCCAGAGCTAATCCAACTCTGAATTTCAAAGAAGAAGGTAGGCCCTGGCCGGTGTGGCTCAGTTGGTTGGAGCATTGTCCCGTAAACCAGAAGGTGGTGGGTTTGATTCCCAGTAGGGCACGTGCCTAGGTTGTGAGCTTGGTCCCAGGTCAGACTGTGTACGAGAGGCAACCAACTGATGTTTCTCTCCCTCTCTCTTCCTCTCTAAAAATAAATAACAAATAATAAAAAGAAGAAGCAGCGTGTCCTTGGGTAAGGATTAAAATAAAATAAAAATAAAAACAAAAATAAAAGCTGACTGTTTAAAAAAGAGAGAGAGGTAGACCTCTGAGCCCCAGGATTGGGGTAGGGAACAGCCTTGTTGCTCTGTCTTCCTGCAAATAATATTCCTTTTCTTTGGTGAAGCCAACTTCTGTATGGCCAGAGTACCACTTGTGAGTTAAAAAAAAGTCTGCATGCTGTTCAAGCTTGTGTTGGGGCCCTAGGTCCCATCCTACGTTCCTCTAATCTATCTTTTCTTCTTTTTTTTCTTTCTTTTCTTTCTTTCTTTTCTTTCTTTCTTTCTTTCTTTCTTTCTTTCTTTCTTTCTTTCTTTCTTTCTTTTTCTTTCCCTTTCCCTCCCTCCCTCCCTCCCCTTCTTCTTCCATTTTTTTTTTTTTTTTTGAGATTAGGAACTCACATCCCACCTCAGATCAGAGATTGGGGAGCATTGTGGTGGGAGAAATGGGGACACATCTACTGTCCCCCCACAGAAGGACGGGGTGGTGGAAGACTGCAGCTGCAGGAAGAGGAGCTGGGAGGGCGCCCCCTGGCGGGTGAGCACTGTGCACCTTTCAGAAACTCATCCAGATGTCACCACCCTCTAAGGGGTGGGCTGCATTGTACAGGGTCCCTCTCTCCACCGGCGAAGCCCTTCTCCCCTGGCTCCCTGGACCAGCTCTGCCGGTCAGGTCTTGGTGAACACCTCCCTCCCTGCTTCCCCGTGGGTAGCACTGAGCTGCACCTTCCTTAGGAGTGTCTGTATACCCTTCCCCCCGCTGGCTGCAGGCTCCCCAACGTTGGTCCCCATGTCAGCATTTTGGCCTTCCCAGAAATTGCCCTAGTGCCCAACAGAGAAAGCTCCTTAACAAATGGACCCCATGAGCTTGTCATCACTTCCTCCCACCACCTTCCTTCCACCTTCCTTGACCAAATGTTTGCCTGCCAGCCGGGGCATCCCACCTCCACAAAAGCATCCCAGGCCCACCGTCCAACTGTAACACTGGCCGCATTTCCACTGCTCTCATACCACCCAGAAGGTTGCTGAAGAGCAGCTGCAGCTCAGGAATTAAGGGTACAGGTTACCAATATGCTAGTGCCTAAGCCTCACTACTAGCTGTGTAACCCGGGGTAAGTACTTAACCTCTCTGTGCCTTAGCTATAAAATAGGGGAAACGGTACCTAATCACATTATTATGCAGATTAGAGGGATTAATACATGTAAAGTACTTTAAAGTACTCTAACACCTAATGCATCTAAAGCACACATTAGGAACTTAGGTGTTAGTCGGCCCACCTCAAGCCTCTTCTGCAAGGATGTAAACTCTTCAAGTTCGCCTGCTTCGTGCCCGCACGATTCCTGAAACTCCTACAGAAGCCGACCCACTCCACAAAGCTCACAGAAAAGACAAGCTGTATTTTCCCACAGGCATAGCACATTAATAGGCTAGGAAACTTGTCAAATCGGGAGAGCTACTGTCCAAAAAAAAGACACCACAAAAAACTCAAAATAAATGCAAAATTTAATGGAAAAAAAACTAAACAACAAAAACGAGTACAACATGAATGGAAAGGAACAAAATCAGTCAATGAATGAAGGAGTAAATGACTTGACAAAGGAAGCAGTGTCAGAAAAGCATGTTAACGTAACAGACCAGCGAGCCCAGTAACACGGGCCCCACTTCACAGAGAACCCACACGCAGACGCGCAGACACACACGCAGTCAGCCCGCACCACTGCGAACCACCCAGGCTGCGTGTCCCAGAACTGGGGAGCCCCTACCTCTCGGTTTGCCTGGGACAGTTCTGGCTTATACCTGGTGAGCTGGAGTAATTAACAGCATCTCTTTTCGCTCTCAAACGCCTCAGCTTGAACAATAAATTACAGGGTGATTCTGCCCCAAACCAATGGGATTCATGAAAGACACTGATAGCCGACCCCGACCCGGGACGCTGAGAGGGAAGGAGGGCGGGCCAGGCCCTGCCGGCAGGGGCCTCGCTCCCTAGGGGTCGCTCCTCAAAGAGTGGCAAGAATGTGCACCAAGAATTAATTTGGACTTGGCTAAAGACGACAAAATTCCTAACACAAATCGCACAGGGAAAGAAGTGCAGCGAGGTTCACGAGAGCTGATGGGACCTTTGAAGCCAGCTCAGACCCCAGAAAATGCCACGTGGACAGACTCCCCCTCCAGAGATCTCCTGCAGGCAGGCGACCAGCCACAAGTCTGGCCTTCCGGTACGGCCTGGGGGCGGCCCGGATGAATGGGGGGCAGAACCACCAAACTGGCTCCTGGACCAGGAGCCCTCACTTCTTACACAACAGTGAACCCACCGGGTCATGGAGCCTCAGAAAGGAATCAGCCAGCAGAGGCTGTCTTCAG